TACCTCTATACAAATCAAAATACTAGTAAGAAGAGAAATAGAAAAGTAATATATTTTCTCCTTCTAGTATCTCTTTAATTATTATAGTTACACAGACAGAATTTTCTCTTAAAATTTATCTTGAAAATCATGATAATCGTAGAACAATATGAGAGAATTTTATGAGTTTCTCTTAATTAATTAAAATTTACCACAATAAAAAATATTAAATGTCCATGACAACAAGATATAAAATACGTTCGATTAATTTTACTATGTACATAGTAATAATTTTTATTGTGGTAAATATTAATCAGAGAAACTTTTATAAAATTCTTCCAATACCATATTTTCCCAGGGTAAATTCTAAGAGAAACTTCTCTCCATGTGTAACGAATTCTTTCTGTATTCACAGTTTTTAGTTCACGTCGTTTTCTTCTTACAAAAAATGATTAAATTTAGCAAACTCAATTGAAGCAGAACAAAGTAGAAAAAAAAGAAAACGTGGCAACTCTTTTGCGTCAGACTAATAAGTTTGCTATTCTACTAGACATTTGCCCTCTAGCGATAGACTTACTCTTTTGTTGCTTTTATCGTGATAACGCGATACGCTCCCCTGCGAACGGATCGTCGGCAGAGTCTATGTCAAAGTGCAATCAACATTCGTACACGTGATAGTCGCGTAAATCGAATCTAGATTCGATACAGCTGCACGACCGAGTTTCGCGCGGGAAAAATTGACAGGAAAACAGCTGATAGACGACGGATGATCGACGTTTTACGGGCCGATGCCGAGCAGCGGCGTACGCGCTCGAACTTAACCCCGTTTATTATAGCTTATATCTCCTTACACAAGCCTAGAGAGTTAGACTAACACAGATCGGCGCGGAGTCTAAGATTTTTCGCCGACGTCGCTGATCTCGGAGATGATCCTTGCGCGCTTCTTCTCCCTCGCGCGCGTATCCGTCTGTCACTTTTCCTGTCGCCTTCGGCTCCGACAGAACGGTTCACCGTTAAATCGCGGCGTCTTTACGCATCTAGACGCCTTTATGCGTGTCCGTCTTTTGATCCACAATTAGCTACAGAAGTAACGCGCGACGGAGCATTACGACGGTAGAACGGTTTAGTGTTGCTGTTCAACAGCTTTGCTGCGCGCACCAAAAAAAAGTGAAATAAAAGAAAGGGGAAAAAAAGAATTTGACTTTTCCGGACGGGAATCCTGTTCAAGGAAACACGACCGCGCATCATCAGTTAGACGAAAACTGATTCTTTCCAGATGGTTGCTCTCATTTTTAAGCGGTCGATGACTTTTAAGTATGTCTCTCCGTCGAGAGAGAACGCGATCTCGAAAATTAAATGCAAATATATGTCAATCAAAACTAAATTTGCTACCCTTTTTATATATTTCTTTATAACTGCGAATGTTTAATATCGTTATAAAGTTCTCCAGATTTGAGAATAAAGAGATTGAGGAGAATATAAAAAGATTTTGCCACACGATGCGCCGCTTATCGCGCATGTTTTTTTCGCTCACGCAGAAAACATCATCGGGATTAATGAGATGCCACATTGTGTCCGATAAAGAGAAACTAACGAGAAGCTTGGGTTCTACATACATAAATTGTTGCTATATTATTGTTGCTCGTATATCGATAGCTCGTTATTAATAATAGACTAAAAACGACCAAAACCCGTTCCATAACATGCTTATTTTCCATTGCGATTATACTTATCGAATTGTTGCTCTTTCGATTGCGACGCCAGTCGGGCGATTCGGACGGAATTCATCCCTCGACATAATAATAATCGCGAGACGCGTCAATTAGCGTTTAAAATTGCGTGCAATTTCCCTCCAATTAATTAGTATCTTGCTTTTAATCTCTTCTAATTAATTGTTATTGAGGCTTACGTGTCTGAATATATATTTGCCTTCTAGAGTCGTAAACATTTCCGCATATTTTTGCAACCGTAGCATCAACTGTGATCACATTTGTATTATGAATTATTACAAAGTCTTTTAGCACGAATAATATGCTAAACCACCTGTTGAGAGAATCGTTCAAATAATGCATATATATTATACCTATTTAATTTTTTATATACATTTGTAGCTTATAATTTTAGAATAAAATATTATAGAAACTTACATCTTTTACATCAAATCATTATAGTAGATGAATATAGTGAGTATTTGACACAAAGGCATATTATAGGCGTTTTTTATCAGTGTACATAGATAAAATAATTGTTTTCGTCGCTGATTATCGCGCTACCCTCTTTCAGAGATTTCTGTATCTAAATTCTGTTTAATTCCTTTATATATGATTCACATACACAATAATTCTAAAAATAGATTACACGCATCTATAAAATGTTATACTCATGTTTATACATTACGGATGTGAAATTCAATTCTGTCTCGATCATGCGGTCACTGCTGTGGGGTGACTTAAAATACAAGAAGAAAAATTGCCGCGATCAATGTGACAGATATCTTATCTTTATCTATTCTTGCGCAATCAGCTGATATAACTATAATACAAGATGTACATAATATTTCGATTTGATTAATCTTGTCGAGGAGGTGTTGGTGCACAGAAAATATTGTTTTTTCGGGTACGCGATAGAGAACGATCACGAATTTGCCGAGTGACATGATAAATAACGTTGTAAGATTCCTGTAATCACTACATTTCGGTTTATATTTGGATCATCTTATTGTTTGGGTTATAAATGAGAGAAGCACATGGTTATAAATATATTACTTCACGTGAAGTTTGTACTACTTATCGCTTTTTTACTGCTTGTTTTTAACAAAATTCTTGTCAAATGTACGATATTTGTTTGCGAAAACGGAAAATAATTTTATACATATTATACATATGTCTATATGAATTATAGATTGAGTCTGTGGAATCGTAGAGATAAAATCATAGAATCATAATTAATTATGATTTATAATTAATTTATCGCAGCTATCTATTAGCTATGCATTTGCATACAGAGAGAATTTTCTCAGAATTTACCCTGAAAATCATATTTTTACCAATTTTACCACAATAAAAAATATTAATATTTTATTGTGATATATTGTAGGATTAATTTCTCCGATATCAGAATTTTGAGCCATTGCATGGAGAGAATTTTCTCTTAGAATTTACCTGAAAATAAAACGAATATTAATATGTACATAGTCAAATTTACTAGTACACATTAATATTTTTTATTTTCATGGTAAATTCCAAGAGAAAATTCTTTCCGTACACATCGGCTCAAAATTTTTCCATCGGAGAAGTAAATTTTCGATTAAAAATCTAATTTTCCGAGGAGGTAATTTTTCAATTTACGCGTGAAATTAATAATTCTCATTGTTAAATATATATTTTCCTAGAAATAATTTCTTTTTCTCATCTCGTCCGCGAAACTCGGCTGCCTGCGCGTGGCGCGGGACAGTTTGACAGCTATAACGATCCACGTGTGCGACCACTTGAGGCTAGTTTTCCACAAGTTTTCTAAAGTGGACGCACCTCCTCTCCTTTGCACAGGCGGTTCACTTAGGCTCAATAGGCCGGTAAGTGGCCGCTATTACAACACCGGCGCGCACTTAGGAATCACACGTGTGTGTACTCGCACGAGTGCATCGCCACGTAGTTGCAGGCAGCACGTGGCGCGCGTGTGTCCTTGGCGGGCCCGCTTGATCGACATCCTTCGCTGTCACGCGAAGAACGTGCGATCCGGAAAGAAATTCGAGCCGCGAGATCGCGACTTGTCAGCGACTATCGGCACCTCGCATGCAATGCAAAAAGCCCCCGAGGGCGAGAGAGAGAGGGAGATTGTTGTTTTATAAATACGTGACACAAACGTAAAACGATCCCTCCGGTTCTTATGAGGTTCCACAGACGCGGGCATCAGACACTTGCACAATTACGTCTATGAATAGACCGAACAGATCACCTTCTTCGTCACCTAGAAGTCGTTCCGACGATAATGACGGCGAATTCCATCATTTAAGTTCCTAGCGCGCGGTTGACTCCTTGTCAAAGTGAATCCATCAAAGTCTACCGATGCTGTCATTTCGGTCGCGTATATGTGCATGTGTTGTCCCCTCGACACTTCTATCGAGAAAAAAATTCTAGGTATAAAAGATACGACATCTTGTATATATGCAATATAAGCATGCGAAGACCCTTATATTATATCACATCTAACAAATGACACATGTTTTTTTATTATATAATTATATATTTTTAATATATAATTTATATATTATATATATTATATTTTATATAATACACTATATAAATTTTATATAAATATATATATTATGTAATGTGTGTGTGTGTGTGTGTCGAGCTGATATTCTTACGCAGAATTTCGTGAAAATAGCGGAATAAAATCCCGTGACAGCTAAATCTATATATAAAAGAAATATATCGGGCGGGGGATATTCATATTTCCTCTGGTCGAAAGATATCAAAATTGCTAAGATCGGTGGAAAGAAACGAGGGTAGGAGGTCGCTTCTCGCGACCTCCCTATCTCTAGTAAAATGCGACCGATATATCAAGCCGAGACAAAACAGGCGAACGGCGATCAATTAAAGCTGCCGATGATGGACCACACTTAGTCTTCGCCGATCGGAAGCAGAGATCACTCGACGTGATCCTTCCGTGTTTTATTTGAGCGTGAATCGATCATCCGGCGAATCCTCCCCCGTAAATCTTCGACGAGTTATTCAGAAATAATCATATTTGTCTCGTTTTAATATATTGATATCGGACAATAATAACAACTATTCCAGTTTCCTTTAAAACAACTTGTGTCGCACACGTGATTGATAGCGGCTAAACGATAACAATACAGAGTTCTCCCGATCGCTCGTATGAAACGCGATCTTTATTTTCATTCATATATGCATTCAAGCGCGATTTGATGCATATCTTTTTTTTCAGCAAGAAATGAACACTACGATTAATAAGGTAAAGTAAGAGAAAAAACATTTTTTATAATATTATATCAGTTTTGACGTTTATTTTCATCATATAATTATATATACTATGTAGAAGAAGCTACGGATATTTTTATGAATGAAAGTAATCCAATACGCAATTTTTTAAATTTAAATTTCTTCATTACCACTACATCAGCCACAATGTTATATAGAGGATTACAACTGCGGTATATAGCGTAACTGTCTGGCGCTCGATTTTGAGAGACGACGAGATCGAGACTTCAAGAGGGTGTCCGACGAGACAGTATTTAACATTCTTAATAAAAAAAAAAGGGATCGCGCTTTGTTCACCCCTCGTCGAGACACGAAAAGACAGCGGATAAAGTATGCATGACACATATATATATATATATATTGCAGAAATGGAGAACAGGTCTTGTCTCTCCTCGCGAGGCCAGACAGTTGAAGCCGCCGCGCTTCGGCACAAAAGAATACATTATACCTTCGAGGAATCCTCCCTTAAAGGGGTCTCGCGTCTGAGGTACTCGACGCGATTCCCAAAAATGAGAGAGGCGAATCTCTCCCGCCGTCGTCTCTCACATCCATCCCGTTTCTTTCGGCGAGGGATGTTGGGTTTCCCACTGCGTGCAACGCGGTGGGCATGAAAAAGCGAATTGGTGCCATCGGACGCGCGCGTCTGGACCACGCTAACGACCCCTCCGTTTTTCTCCCCTTGCCACCCCCCGTGTCGCTGGCCCCACGACCGGTAAGAATCTGTCTGCCATCGGAACGGTCTTCTTCCTCCACCTCCTTTTTTCCTCCCCCTCTTCCATCTTCTACCTCTTCCACTACACTTCTCCCTCCTTATCGTACCTCTCTCCCTCTGGTCCCTGAAATCTGGAACAAGAACCGCGTGGCGAGGCAGCCCGGTACCAGTGGCACCGACGAACTCGGTATCGACGGGAGTCTCTTCAGGACTTCGGGGATCTCGCAGCATCGTCTCCACGCCACGCTAAGATCCGCCGTCGCAGAGAGAGAGAGAGAATCGTGATACGACGGAAGAAGTTTCTCCTTCGAGAAGAGAGCAAACTTGGAAAAAAAGACTTCCAAACACGTTAGACTGCACATTGAGACTGAAGGCAAGCTCTTGAAGAGGCTTTCCGGTTCGCACCGACTGGATAGAATTAATATAAATAATAAACTTAAACGTGACCCGAGTATCGGCGAATGTGGATCTTCAAGTATCAGGACTCCTGGAACTTTTAGAGGATTCCGTTTTCCACCCCTTTTTTCTACAACCTCGATTGCGATTCTCTAAGGACCTCGAGGGAAACTTTAAGATGACAGGCGGCGTTCATGTAATGACATGCAAGACAAGACCGGTGCTCTTGTTCGCGTTGCTTCTCTTAAGCATCCTGAGCATCCTCGTCGACGGCCAAAGTTTAGCCTTTAGGTCCAACATCAAGATGCGGAAACTGTGCTCCCGGAGTCTGAGCGATGCTATGACCCTGGTGTGTCGGGAACGCGGCTACAACGAGCCGTTTTCGTACAGCGGCGAGGACGAGCCGAGAGTCGATCCCGGTCCAGGTCTCGTCGAGGAGTGCTGCTACCATCAGTGCAGCATCGAGCAGCTCGAGCGATACTGCAAGCCCCTACCCGAGGAGAAGCAGCACGTTATGTGAGTGGATGTTAGTGTTGTTTTTACGTTTTTTCTCCTTTTTTCCCCCCTTTTCTTTTTATTCATAATTAAATTCTATTTATGACTCTTGACAAAATGATACTTTTCACACATGTTTCTTCTTTGGTAGTTGTATACATTTTTTGTCTTGTTGAATGACGCTTGATTGTTAAAGATGTTCCATCTTTCTTTTTTTCTCTGCATTTTACATATTCCAAGTTAGGATTGATTTTTTCTTTTATCTTCTTGATTATAAGTCAACATTTTTGTAAGGAGATCTCTCTGATCCGCGAGCATCCATTTTCCCATACGGTTTTGATATATTTTTATCGCTCTCTTTAATATCCGTGTATCAATAAATCAAAAAGAATTGTGTGCATCCCTTGCTTCGTTAATAACACACTTCTGAAAAGGCATTTAAATCCATCTCGAACGCGCGAAAAGAAATTGTAATATTGATGTTTCGGTAATGAATAATCGATAAACTCTGTTGCTGGTTGATTAATTTTACGCATAATCGTAAAATACGTATAGTTTATAGTACACATTTTGTCGTAATAGTTTTGATAAATACATTTAAAAACAAAGAGAGAGATAGAGAAAAAGAAAGATGAGACTCTAAATACGATCACGTATAAGCAGCTGATTATACGTAACGAGCTTATGTAATTTATATCGATGCTGAATCATTTGTCTCGCACGCTGTCAGCTAATAGGTGGCCTGAGTGTCAGTGCTTAAAACGATGGACTAGAGATCGCTTGTACTCTTTTGAAAAGAGCAAATTGCCAATATCGAAGACCGAGAGAGAGAGAGAGAGAGATAGAGCGAATCCGCGTGTTATCACCGTCTCGGTGATAATCTCTGCTCCTCCTAAAGTTCACGGTTCTGTACAAACTGCCTTTTCAGATGGAAAGTCCGAAGTACTAGGACAAACTCGCGCATATCATGCGTATTTAATATTTTCTTCTTCTCTCTCATCACAACTCTCCTCTCTCTTTCTCTGTCTCTCGTTGCTTTGTGGTAATGCTCCCGCCAGTTTTTATCGAATTATAATCGACTTGTTTTTGCCGAAAAATCTTAATCGTACGATTCTTAATTCGTACGATGGGCAAAAAAATTTATAAATATTTGTATAAGAAGACTTGATTTTCTTATACAAATATTTATAAATTTTTTTGCTCATCGTACGAATTGCGCTCTCGTATCAAGTGACATGTTTATTGTCATATTTTTAATGCTGATGTGTTTATCGCGGTTTGTTCATTAAACTCAATTTTAGGGTCGATGATCTAATATTGATTTCGAAGATCGGGGAATGGTAATTCGTCAAAAATTTAACAATATCGAGATAGTTGAACAGTCTAAGGGGGTTGAATAAGAAGTTGGATCTCTCTTTATGGATAAATATTTCTAAATTAAAAAAAATATTTCCACCCGTTTTATATATACAAAGAATGATTTGTATTTATTTACGTTTCTCCCCTTGATTGTTTTCAGAGAAGAGTCATTCGGGAATCTACCTTATTCCACGAGAGATCTATCGTCGGAGCAGAGTCCGCGATCGGAGATGGAATACGACAGCGGTACGAAAAAACGTAAGGTCGATGATTTGAAAAGGGGACGGCACAGGGGAAAGGTGATCGCAATATTGATGGGGAATGCAAGGGGAAGCCTGATGCGAAAAAGCGACACCGCGGCAGGCACTGCAGATGCCGTCGTCGGCGTCTGGAGTGTCGCCGAGCTGGCAAGGTGCTTTCATAAAACGTCATGACGTCAATGCTTGTCTAACAATTTCACTTACTAATGTTTCCATTTCACGCACATTTCGGACTAACTGCAATTTTATGGTAACCCCGCACTTTGCAAATCTGCACCGTACGGGAATTACATGAAACATGTACGAAACATTTACGCAAACTAATTCATCTAGCACGTATCTGCTAATTTTGGGAAGCTAGGATTTCTTGAAAGATTTTTATGTAACGACTGATGATTTTTTTTTATTACGTGACATTCGTATTTTTAAAATTTTTAATAAAGAAGAAGCTCCTGGGTTTTCGCTTCAGATCGAATTATCTTTATCTACTCTAAATTTTTTGTTATTTATGCAAATATCTGAAGCGCAGTCTCAAAGGTTGTAAACACACTTGATACGACGCGTCCTTGTTTACGGCACCGTGCATTGCTGTCTTCTCTTCTCTTTGTATTCCATTTCAATCATAAAAATAACTTACGCTTTGCATCTAAAAATAATTGTAGATAGATGATATCGTGCGTATTCATTCTTTTTTCTTTAACGTTGCATGATGTTTGTCATCATCCACGCTCTGAGATATTGCTGCGGCGCAGCTTCAGATAGCTAGTGATCTCCTTTGCATGCGCTTTCTTTGTGGTATTGATTTAAATTCATTCTTGACGTTAAGATAAGAAAATTTAACAGAAACGTAACGTGTGTGCGTTTTTGTCGTTACAGGTTTCGCGCGGCGACGCTAAATCTCTAGATAATAAATTCGTGACATCGTCGCCGACAGAGAAGCCTACGTTGTTTCCCTCCACAACGTCACAGTGCTAAAAACAAAATACCGGTTGTTCTCACACATACACACATTCACACGCACACACATACATACATATATGAGGAATTCTAGGAGATGCGATTTCTATAAGAAGGCGGTATTCTTAGAGTGAATTCACTTTTTTCTTCAACGCCATTCTTCGACCTGTATTTATCGCATCACTGGAACAATCAGCCAAGTTTGCACATGATCCCTCATCGAGAAAAAAAAACAAAAAATTAAGGACAGATATTTTGCCAATCGCGAATCTTGGAACATGAAGGAGGAAAGAGACTCAACACTTCAACGGGAAATGATGGGGCTTCTCCAATGACGCTTTCTTTTAATGACAGAAACAATGTCATTAAAGAAATAGTGAAATTCGACTCGAGATAAAGTCGCGGACTGTATATCGAATACAATTGTGATGAACTTGAGTTTAGAATTCGGGACAAATCGAAGATCGTGATCTCGCAGAGAAAAAAAAGACTTAAGTGACTTCAACGTGTAAAACGTTTCTTTCAAGCGCTCGGGAATAGCTCGGATATTCGCCAGTGATCTTAGTTTTATTGACGACTGATGATCTCATTAGTATTAAAATTTTTGTTGTAGATTTAAGGCTTAAGTTAGAGATTTCCTACTTGAAACACAAATACATCCCGAACGCGTACTTTATTAACGAGTCCATTAGCGAATGGATGAGAATTTAAAATGTGGAATTGTAGTTTTTAATAAAACAAATCTAGATTTAAAACTCTCATTAGTTGTAGATAGGAATTTTATCACGCTGTACACATAGCATAGCGTGAAAATCTTATTGGTCATCCGAAGATTGCAGCTGATATTTACGTTAATAATATATGCGATCAATAAACATTTATACGAACTAACCGATTTATTATCTATTTTGTGGAATACCTGATTTTAAAGTAAGAAAAAAACTAATTAATTGACAAATATAAAATAATAAATTTGATATTGCATTTCTAAAATTTTATTTACATATGTTCTTTTTTCTTAAAGAAACATTAATTTACGAGAGCTGTCAGTTCTTAATTTTAAGACATTTAACCTGTCAAACAAGGTATGTGCATCGTTTCTTTAAGACACTTCTCGACATTTTGGCAGCATTTCGATGCTGTTTCTAAGAAAACTTTCCAAACCTCCTCTTTCGAAGCTCTCGGTGACCTTTCGTAGATATCATTATATAGTTCGTCCAGTTCTTCGTCATCGAGTTCGAAATCATCGTCAAAGGCCTGCCAAACATTATGCAACTTGACTTTTTATTGTCTTTGTTTCTTCAGTCGATTAATTACTTACATTTTTATTAGCATTAATTATTTATGTGTTAGTTATTACAACATTGTTAATCAATTATTCAATTGTAGAATGTCTCGATCCAGTTACTCGTCTTATTTCATTGTGAGTCGGAAGCACTGCGCGTTATCGTTTGAAAAATTTACATTACAGAAGGCAGTTGCATATGTTGCATATGTTAATTACACATAATAAAGCCTGTTGCGTTACAGAACATTTTTATTGTCCGACGTTATTATTTCGTTTGCGCGTTATATCGTTTTTATTATTATCATTCACCATTCACCGTGTCTTCGGGGATTATGCAGAGGAGGTGAGTTGTGTTGCGAAGCATTTTTATAGGTATTTCCCCAGCAGCATGACGGATCGCAATACTGATCCTGATGGATTGACTGGATTCCGTGTCCCAAAGAGCGGAATGGATTTTAGAAACGATTGGCTTACCGGGCCGCGGAAGGGCGTAGGAGCCCTTCTGTTGAACGGATGAGGCGGCGCGGAATAATATCCTGATCGATTGAATATAGGATTTAACAGGCTTGGACCGGGACCGTAATATCCTGTCCCGGGCGCGAGATGCGCCCTGGCTTTGACAGCGCCGTTTATAGCTTCCGCCACAATCGGCAGGGCGATATCACCGGCGACTAGTCCGGATGACAGTAGCTGTCTTTTCTGAGGCACGTGAGACGCCGAGTCATTCACCTCGTGATGATGATCTGAAAGAAAACGCGACTGTCAATCGGACGCATTTCGAACTCTCGGGCTCGAGATTCGTCGAAGGAAAAGTCTCTCCGACGAGATTCCATTATGAAATTTCTATTATTATTTGACACTGTACACGTGGGCGCCCTCAGAATGAGGAAAGAGCGTTTCCTTTTGGAATCGATCAAAATATTTGATTTTCTTTTGAATAAGCATGAGAATTTATTTGCACGGTTAATATTAAAAAATTAAGAGAGAACAAAAAATAAGAAACAAAAAAATTTAATTAAAGATTCTGCAGACGCCCATAATTATTTTGCGATATTTATTTTCTTAAGAGATTTAATTTATTATGAGAAATATTGATGATATATAGTACATAAATAAGATATTTCTCTTTTTGCATACTTTATTAACAAAATTCACATTTATTAATATCATTGATAGGATCACTCACCACGCTGCTCCTGTCCCTTCTCGTACTTCTGTAGATCAAATTTCTCCAAGCCTCTCTTGGCTCTAGCACCGAGCCTGCATTTCTTCATGTGCACATCCATCACGATCGTCTTGCACTGCGTGCTAGCCCATGAAACTCCACACGTAAATATAAGAATTAGCGCGATCCGATGCGCTTCGATGCGATGCAGATGCATCTTCAAATTGTAATTTGATCTAAATGCTTTCGATCATTCGGCGATGATTGCGCTATATAAAATCCGAATATTAAGACTCGTTGCGCTTTTAAGAATGTCCTTATCCGAAAGTACGTGTCGGAGATACGTTTGTGTAATCATGCCGATGTACTTTTATTTATGCTGCTATGCACGTTTGTCATTGCATGTGCATATATAATATTTATATATAGCGTGTTAATTATGTTACCGAATAGCCGAGGACGACAAAAATTGCTTTGGCAAAGTATTTTGAAAACACAGATAGTGAAACGAAAAGTGCGTTTTAAAATAAATACTTATATAATTATACATATAATAATATATTTATCAAAATATTTTTGTTGACTATATATATATATATATCTTTGAATCATCAATTTAGATAACATTATCTATCTTTCGAACTTTTCGTTCAAAGATATATATATATATATATATATATATATATATATATATATATATATATATATATATATCTTTGAAGGAAAAGTTCGAAAGATAGACTTTGCGAAAAATGTGTGTGTAAAAGATTCAGTAAAATTCGTAGAAGACGTTATTAGTAGATTATCTGTTAATTACAATGAACTTAATGTGGTTCTCCGTACTATAGTATTATTAGATAGTGCAGCAATTTTGTGCCGGTAATAAACGGCCTTACCTCATTGCTGTGTGGGTGTCAATTGATACGAGGATGGAATGCTCTGCACGACGTTGAAATAATAATATATTCCTGTGAGCATTGCGGAAAATTATCTATGAGATTTGCGCTTAATAACACACGTGTGTTTACAAAGGCGCGCAATCAACTATTCTAAATAATCCATGATCAAAGGCGGCAAAAATGCTTATTCTCATATTAATTTTCCTATCCTTATTTTCACTTTCTTATCTAGATTTTTATTTTATAATTTGATTAGCTGTATATTTTTATATTTCTGTATTTTTATATTTTTTTATATAGATTAAATATCATAAAAATCTAGATTTTTGTTATAATTTTGTTGTGATTTTATAATTTTATTATCTGTATATTTTTCTTTCTGTAATATCTGCACGTTAAAGTAATAATTGTCGATTGCGGAGTTCCAAATTAATAAATTAATATGAGTTATAAATTAGTAAATTAATAAGTAAAATTACACAGTCAATTAATAATAAGATTATTTTATATCATACCTAATTATTTTATATATTTTTTATAAATATTTTATACAGATTAAATGACATAATCTAGATTTATGTTATAATTATGACAGATAATGTTATCTAAATTGAAATAACATACATTTCATAACATGATTAATATTTTGATGTGGAAGACATTTGTGCGTGACTAAAATTTATAGCGATATATGAGAAAAAATTAATGAGATAATCATTCACAGTTTTTAATCATAATTTTAAGTATTATTGTTAGCATCACGCGTACAACATACACACATTACAACATCGACGTTATGACAGCCGAAAAAAAATATATATGGATGTATATATAGTATTGAAAAAATGAATGTGAATAAAAATAGTTTTTAAAAGTGGATATAATTAATATGTTATAGAAGGATATGAGAAATGCTGGCATGTGTGTGTGGGCTTCTCTTATAAAATAGGCTTATCTTTTTATATTATATACATATATGTATATACATATTTTTTATATATGTGTACATATCAATATATATATTATATTTTATATTTTTTTATACTTTTTAATTTAATTTAATTTTTTATTTTATATACTTATTTTTATTATATATTATTATTATATATATTATTTTATTTTTTATTTTATATATATATATATATGTTCTACAAATTATATATATATATATATATATATATAATAAATTATTATTATATATATATATAATAAAAAATAAAATATATATGTATATATATAGTCTCTCCTTGATATAGATCTACACTATCGACTGTGGAAATGTAGAAAACATAATTAATATTTAGCAAGTAAACTTCTTTATCGACAATCGGAAAAAATTTGCAATCTGAAATCTGAAATTAGTGACATCATAATCTTATTCAGCGAACTACTTCTACGAGCCTGCTAACATCGCGGTTTGACACGTAAGACAGGCGTAAGTACGTTTCCTTTTATTCGCTAGGTGATAGTCCAAATGAGTAAACTTTGACAGATCGATCGTCGACGCAAGTTTCACTCAATTCTTATTGTACGATTCACGAGAAAGAAGACTTGAGAAAATGAGTGCGGTAACGGAGCAGCCGTGCTATACCCTGATAAACATTCCGACCGACACAGAACCGCTGAACGAGCTTCAGCTGAAGCAGGATCTCGAGAAGGGAAGTGTTCATACGAAAATCGATGCACTTAAGAAGACCATTCACATGATCCTGAGCGGTGAGAGATTACCAGGATTGCTGATGACGATCATCAGATTTGTCCTACCTCTGCAGAATCACACTATCAAGAAACTGCTGTTGATATTCTGGGAGATTGTGCCCAAAACCTCTGCCGATGGCAAGCTTCTGCAGGAGATGATCCTGGTGTGCGATGCTTATAGGAAAGATTTGCAGCATCCCAATGAATTTGTCAGGGGATCTACCCTTAGGTATATAGAAATGAATATGTCTATATAGATGTAGATCGTATTGTATGAACAAAAAAATTGTATATAATTTGTTATTATTTGCAGATTTCTGTGCAAACTGAAGGAGCCAGAACTTCTCGAGCCACTGATGCCAGCAATAACTGCTTGTCTGGAGCACAGACACTCTTATGTTAGACGCAATGCAGTACTAGCTATTTTTACCATTTACAGAAACTTTGAATTTCTTATACCAGATGCTCCGGAATTGATAGCAAAGTACCTAGAAGGAGAGCAGGATATGTCATGCAGAAGAAATGCGTTCCTGATGTTGTTGCATGCCGATCAAAGTAGAGCTCTTGCTTACTTGGCTGCATGTCTCGATCAAGTGCCTAGTTTTGGCGACATACTACAGCTGGTTATTGTTGAATTGATATACAAGGTATAAATATATCATATTATTGTTTAAAATTTGAATGCATATAGTTTATTGATATAAATACTGATATAATAAATTGTTCTGTTCTAGGTTTGCCTTGCAAATCCATCAGAAAGGGCACGTTTTATCAGATGTATTTACAGTTTGCTAAATTCACCTAGTGCTGCAGTGCGTTATGAAGCAGCTGGCACATTAGTGACTCTTTCCAGTGCACCGACTGCGATCAAAGCCGCAGCTTCCTGCTATATCGAATTGGTTGTTAAAGAAAGTGATAACAATGTCAAACTCATCGTACTCGATCGACTAATTGCGATGAAAGATAGTCCTGTATATGAGAGGGTGCTTCAAGATCTTGTGATGGATGTACTTCGCGTTTTAGGTATTGCATTGATAATCATAATGACTAATTAATTGTACTGATCAATGAACTTCTATATATTACTATTATTATTATTTATTATAAATAGGATCACCAGCTTTAGAAGTCAGAACAAAGACCTTGGCTCTGGCTATGGATTTGGTCACAACTCGTACGATCGAGGAAATGGTTCAGCTTTTAAAGAAGGAAGTTCTTCGGACAGCTGGCGGAGAACACGAGGATGCTGGTAGATACCGTCAACTCTTAGTACGAACCCTCCACGCTTGTTCCATGAAATTTGCGGATGTTGCCGCCACCGTTATTCCAGTACTGACAGATTTTCTATCGGAGAGCAACGAAGCGGCTGCTACAGATGTTCTCGTATTCGTTCGTGAAGCCATTCAGAGATTCGAGAATCTTAGACCGTTGATCGTTGAGAAACTACTAGAAGTAAGTACATGATTTAGTACATTACTAATTATATTTTTATAATTGGTATGCTAAATTGAAATTAATTTTTATTTTGATGAATTATAGGTATTCCCTCATATACGGTCCGTAAAGGTACACAGGGCCGCACTCTGGATTCTTGGTGAATACGCCACGTCGAAGGAAGATATAGAAGCCGTGATGGGCCGCATACGTGCAGCGTTAGGCGAATTGCCGTTGCTTGAGGCAGAAAATAAACGTCAAGCCGGTGAAAAGTCCGAAGATGGCAACTCACAAGCTGCGCCGACGCAACTTGTCACATCCGATGGAACATACGCGACTCAAAGTGCTTTTAGCGCTACATCTGCACGTGAGTAACTCTTTTTTTAAATACAAGATATTTCATATATACACATTACATAATTTGAATTAATTTATTAGGGAAAAGAGGAGAAGCGACCAGCGTTAGTGCAATATATGATGGAGGGCGACTTCTTTATCGGCGCTTCCTTGGCTACTACATTGGCAAAGCTGGCGCTTCGTTATAAAACGCTGGAAACCAACGTCCAAAAGAGCAACAGATTGCAAGCGGAGGCAATGCTTGTCATGTCCAGTATGCTGCAACTAGGTCGTTCAGGTCTTCCTATGAAAGCGATGACGCATGATGATGCGGAGAGGATCTCTTTGTGCCTTAGATCGCTCGCTTGTCCAATACCACTTGTACAAAAGGTTTTCACCGAGGGATGCCGCGATGCTCTTGGCAGGATGTTGACTGCGAAAGCGGAAGAGGACTCGCAAAACCAAAAGGCCAAGGAGAAACCGGGCAGCATCGTCCAAGTCGACGACGCGATTCAGTTCTTGCAGTTGAGTCGGGGATCCGACTTAGCCGGTGGTGCCGGCGATGTATTCGAGCAGAGTCTCAGTGCCGCTGTCGCAGGACGACCTGGTGCCAGTGGAGACGCACCAGCTCCGAGTGTCTTGAGTAAAGTCACTCAACTCACCGGTTTCTCGGATCCAGTTTACGCGGAGGCCCTGGTCCATGTGAACCAGTACGACATCGTGCTCGACGTATTGATAGTTAATCAAACGGAAGACACTCTTCAGAATTGCACCTTGGAACTGGCCACTATGGGCGATCTAAAGCTAGTGGAGAGACCGCAACCCATCGTACTCGCGCCGAGAGATTTCGCCTCTATCAAAGCGAACGTGAAAGTCGCGTCTACGGAGAACGGAATTATATTTGGAAATATCGGTGAGCGATTTGGATACTTGGAAAATTGTCGATTCCGATGAATTTACAATTTACATGGCTATTTATATTTTTTTGATTGCAGTTTATGATGTATCCGGAGCGGGTTCCGACAGAAGCGTTGTTGTTCTTAACGATATACACATCGACATCATGGATTACATAGTACCCGCAACGTGTACCGATGCGGAATTCCGCCAGATGTGGGCAGAGTTTGAATGGGAGAATAAAGTCTCGGTCAATACGACTCTGTCTGATTTGAGAGAGTATCTTGCTCATTTATTGAAGTCCACAAATATGCGTTGTCTCACGCCGGAAAAGGTACGTAGAATTTTTTTTTATTTTCTATCATATTATTAAATCGGAATTTCCCTTCCACATTAGGCTCTTTCGGGGCAATGCGGATTTATGGCGGCGAATATGTACGCTAAATCGATATTTGGCGAGGATGCTTTGGCAAATTTGTCTATTGAGAAACCATTGAATAAACCTGACGCACCAGTGGTCGGGCATATTCGTATCAGAGCCAAGAGCCAAGGTATGGCTTTGTCACTGGGTGATAAGATCAATTCAGCGCAAAAAGGCCCGCAAACCAAGGTCGTGCAAGCCGCTTGAAACGCATCATCTCGATTAAATTCTTTGGACATCTTTCGGACCTGTATATTATTTCGCAAATAAATGGACTCTGTCGTTAGATTTGCTCGTATTGTTTATATTAAAATGCGCATTGCGTACAATGTGTGTGCGCATTAATTTCATTTCATGTTTAACTGTATTACATTTCCTGTCGACACACTATTGTATAAGCATACTTATATTAATTCGCTACAATGAATAGGATATATATATATAGTCAAAAAATGTAAACGATACTTCATCTATAAGTCTCGTCATCTTTTGATTTTTTTTCGACATAATTATATGGAACAATGTATCCCTGTCACTTTTTAAATAAAATAACTTTTAATGAAAAAATACTTCTACTTTTTATATATAACTCAAAAATTATTTTTAGAGTTTTTATTGTTTAATATGTAATAGAGAAGTAAAAATTAAACAAATTAAATAATAAAGATATTAGACGATTTTTTCTTAAAGATTCTAGAGAGACTGGTTTTCTATAAAAACATTTTAAAGAAGGATCATTTTTGTAATAACATTTTTTAAAATTTTCATCGATATATAAAATATTTCCGTCATGAATTATGTAATAGAATTTTATCAATTTTGTCATTGCGCTTATTCGATTAATATAATCCTTTGCTTTAGATTTAAAGCCATCCTCCTCTCGAAGATTTACTACCCGATGTAATGGATACGAGTTTTTCTCGATCATTGTCTTTGTTACTATCTGAGGCAACCGTCAACGACGGAATAATCGAAAGTTTAGGACTATGCAAAGCTTTTGGCCGTGCCCTGATCGAACTGCTTCCATCTTTAATGAAGGGAGGAACAGTAGTCGCTGTTGGCTTGCTTTGATTTTCTCTAGAAGGACTAGGAGTAGTTTTTGTAACAGTAGTAGTGGATTTTGCAGATGTAGAAATAGCAGAAGTGATTGTGTTGGATTTGGCAGTAATAGCAGTTGTAGTCGTAGTTGCAGTAGTTGAACCAGTGATAGTAGTTGTAGATAATATGGGAACAGTCGAAGCAGTAAATTGAGTAGAAGTTGATGGTTTTCCTAAAGAAAGTGAAAAATAATATAAGTACATAAATTAAAGCTATATAATTAAATATAAATAATATTTCATAATATTGCGATATACACATTTGATGATTTTAATATCATGCATGTGTATCACATTAATTAATTATAATTACATAAATAATATTTATATAATGTAATCTGTAAATTTAAATTTTGTAAAAAAATTACCAATTATTGGTGATTTAGGTGCTTTCCTTTTGATTACTCGTGGTGGAGATGTGCGAAGTGGTAGCAACGGTGCAACTTTATTCGTAGTCGTCTCGTTGACAAAATCAACCGAGGACGTAGATTTAGGCTGTGTAAAAAATATATTTGGAAGATAAATGTGTGAATTTTTAATGAATAATTATGTAGTATTATATTAGATTAATTTTTATTATATTTATTATATTAGATCAACTTCCCGAATTTCTTAAAATGATTTAGAATCGCTTTTTTTCTCTTTTCATCTCTTCCTTTTGCTTAGAAAGAAATGAATTTTGTTTACGTTTATTGTAAGAACGTTTTGGATGTCATTAATTATTAATTTGGCACCTGAAGAATGGATTCAAATCGTTGAGAATCGATTTCATGTCTAATTGATGGTTCGGCGCTTTTCTTTTTCGGAGTCCCGATTTCCGGAGATTTAGCATCATCATCAGTATCGACGATGTCGTGTAGGACATTCAGTATCGTTGCAGCTGTAGTTTCTGGTAATTCGACCGGGATGGTTGGTGGCAGTGGACTTTTTTGTGCCAGACGTTGAACCTCCTCCATTGCTCTCTTCAGGCTCTGCTGATTCTGCAGCGATGCCCTGCTGGTGCTCTTGCCGATTTGCGAGCTTTTAACCGCGTTCTTCACGACCTTTTAAAATTGTGTGTATGATGGAAAGTTTATTAATTTTTATAGATTCTTTTAAAATTATAAAATAGAAAGATTTTTCATTCACCTGACTGAAACGATGTTCAGCCGAAGTTAATACAGCTAATCTAGCGACTCTCTTCCATCTTTCGGCAGCGCTTTCGTCATCGCGTTGTTGAAGACTTATTTCTTCTTGAAGATCGGAGTCAGCTACATTCACAGGACCTGATACTTGGAAGTCCTTCATGAGCCTTCGCTCCCAGACCTTCATCTTCTTTCCCAAGATAGCTAGACAAGAACATACACAGAAACATTAAGTTTTAATTATATTTAAATTTTCGCAAGGAAAGGATTTTAATTTTGTTCTATGTTCTCGTTTATTATTAGTAGAAGATATTTAGCAGTGAGAATGTCAGTGATTACCTTTTTCTTTTTTATTGACATCGCCAATGTTCATGCCGTTTTTGTGCAAAATGTCCAGGAGTTCGCATCTCCAGGACGACAGATCAGTCTTGAGTTCGTGAATATCGTCTTCGTTAACAGGTTCCATCTCGTGCTCGCTGTGCGCGTTTACAATGTAACGCCATATCAAAGCTTTCATGACAGCTCCATATCTGCATAATAATCGTATATAAATATTAACAGCAGGAATACACACATATATAATTAATGCAAATTAATAATTCAATTAATTATTAATTACTAAGTTATTAATTATTAATTGATAGTATTATTTATTACTTACTATTATTAATTATATTAATTATTATAAAAATTCAATTTTAAATGGAATTTAAGTAAATTTCGTTTTTATTATTTTATTTATATTAATTTAATTTTTTTTCAAGTGGTTTATAAAGATATCTTAATACTTGTGTTCGCGTGCACGTCGACGTTGACTGCTACGTTTACTGACGGTTTTCTTCTGCAAACCGAATAATCGAAAAAGCAACTTCGGAGGTGGAAAGATGTTGAAGGGTGGCGGAAGAGTTCCGCTATCCTCGAAATAACTCATCCATAATTTCGTTCGCGCGAATTTCCACTCAGTGTCAGAATGTTCCTATCGCAACGTTCTTATGTCAATTTTCTCGTTGACGAGATTATTCAGGTCGACGAATGTCGCTTTTCAGAGTCTTACCTCGATGACAGCATAGCTGTTGCTCATCATAGCAATCAGGAGATTTAGCAAAACAATCACGTTGATGACAGAATATGATCCGAACATCAACAGGCCCCAGAATCGAGTGTACGATTTAATTCCTGAAAATATTACGTCTCGAAAATAATGGATGTCGATGAGATAGAGATATAAATTTTAAGAAGAATAAAAAAAATAATTATTTTGTGCATATTTAAATTACACGTACCAGTAAGTTCGAAAGTTTCGATGCCGACCATACCAAAACTGGCCCAGAAAAGACTTTGACAAGATTCGAACAAATTACTGAATCTGAAAATATTTAATGAAAAATCTATATAGAAACAATATAATTTATATTAAAATTATATTTAAAAAATATTTTGAAGAATTGTTCAGTTTTTTTTAAAAGAGGTTTGCTCAAGTTATACATATATTCCCAGCAAAGTCACATGTGTATTATATTTTTGCCGAAGCTATTACCTTTGTAATAAATAATTTAGTATTCAATATTACACATTTGAAAAGGGATGCGCAGTCTGTTATTTTTTCATGATTAGTAAGCAGTATGGAGACACATATACGCACACACATATATCATACAACTTGAAACGGAGGAAATGAACGCATCTCGCCAATTCGATTATTCCATTCACCTTCTCCATCTTAAGCAGGCGTCACTGCCGGCGTCCCACGAGGGATCCAACATTCCGCTATAACATTTCTGTCTCTCCAGTTCTGCGAAATACCACAGTAACTGGTTCAAGCCGCAGGCAAAGGCGAATAACACTAAGGTGTAGATGAAAAAAAACTTTACGATGTCGATCACCATTCTGCCCAACGATATCTAAACAGAAATTGCAATTTTCTTTGATATAGAAAACATTACGATAAAAATATATTGCAAAAGAATCCTAGAAACAATATGTTTCAAAAAATCCTAGAAACAATATAACACGATTTTTCCTCAGCGCAAATGTCGAGACACCAATAATTTTCGAATTATAAGCAGTTGAAAATAAAGGCTTTTAGAAAAACTACATATTCTTCAGTTAATTTTATGTAGATTTTGCTTTAATAGAATTTTAATATAAGACTTAATATTGTATAAAGCAAAAATCGAGAACATGCTAAAAATGATGCTCTCCCTCAATATTTTCACTAAGGAAAAATCGTCTCCAAATGATACCAGGAATCTGACATTAAAAACTTTTCCACCAGTTCTGAAACACCCTGTATATTAAAATGCATCATTAAAGAAAAAAAGAGATTTTTGACAAATACGATACCTGAAGCGGCCCCAGATGCGGATTGATGCTGAAAAGATGGACAAGTTTCAAGGCACTGAAGACGTTCGCCGCGGCGAACAGACCCTCCGCAATCAGTTGCATATCGAAATCACTCCAGTTCTCTCGCGGTATCAGCGCGGCGGATGGATCCGTCTGTATCTCGGCGCGTTGCTGAAGATAAGCCGCCAATCTCAGAACGCCGGTCGCCAGGTAGAGCATGTTCCTCGTGGCGTCGATAAAATTCCACATGTCCCGTAAATAAGACTGTAGACCGTCTACGTACACCTTGAAATTTGCGAAGTTGCGTTGGTACACAGAGAGAAAGAGAGAGAAAGAGAGATTTACACATAGAAAATACATATATGGAGAAAACACACATAGGAAGGAAAATTAAATCAATTTGTTCTCGAGCCCTACCTCTCTTATTTCTTCCCATACGAAGCCAAAGACGTAAAGCACGACGATACCTTCCAGAGGAGTAGGAGCAGCCCCTCGTTGCCGAGCTAAATAAGCTTCGAGGTTTCTCTTCATTTCCTGAGTGCCGAGAAGTCTAACGATTTCCACTTCCGCACGCTGCGACACCAGCATGAGTATAACTATGAACGCATTCATTGTAATGCATCACTTAATTATTAATTAATGATGTTATTGTGCTGTCATTTAATTATTTTTTCTCCTTAATTATAATTTGCATTTTAAAGCTAAAATTAAACCTACACAAGAAGAATAAGTAGGACGATGCGTGAACTAAGAATTTCATGAAAGGTCTTCGCACCAGCTGCCCAGTTGTTGACTCGGGCATCAGATAGTACATCATACAATAGAATGGGAATAAAACTGCCGTCCTCGCAAGAATACCGACTCTCTTTATGGTTGACATTCTTCGGAATCCGGGAACACCTTCGTACCTTTGCATCGAAAATTTGAATTAACTTACACTTAAAAATATTTTTATGCCTGTAATTAATAAGTTTGAATTTCTTTTATAATCCTATAATATTCTTACCAGATCGCTGCCAAGAGTTGTTGAACGTGAGAATGCGAAACGAATCTTTTCTGCTTGTATTCTATAGCCTGTTCCAGCCGAGCCAGTTGTTTGCTAAGCTCGATATTCTCTTCCTTAGGATCATAATTTAGGATGGTATCCAGTTCCATGGTAGTTCGAACGTGTTGCAATAAATCAACCGCGAATCTATTCGGAACGAGATTACATAAAAAAATTATTGCATATTCTTTACAATGAAAAACTTACTTTTCCACTTGACGTCGCAGTTTCAAGTATTCGGCTCTACTTTCCGGTTCTGACACAGCCAATTCTCTGAGTTCCCAGCTCAATTGGAAGGCTGTCATTAGAGGATCCGTAGAGCTTAAAGCTATTAAACTTGAGCTCGCCAGAGCTTTGTATTCAGAGATCCTGGTGGATGAAAGTCTTAATGGATCGTCTAAAAGAAGTGAATTCAATTACGCGTTTTCTATATTTCAATGATGTATTTTCAAAGTGAAATAAAGTTTGTCAGCTTTCTCCGCTCACCTGTGGCTGCTTGAAGACAATCATCGCAGCCGCATCTCACGTCGTGCGGCATCGGCAAAGTGGCTCCTCTGTCCAGCAGAAGCTTCAAAATTTCATAATTATTACGCTGCGCCGCGAGTATCAAAGGTGTCATGTCCATCTGATATCTAGCCGAGGCTGGATCAACCTTCTGCCAGCTGTGTATAATCTCGACTGCGATCCGAAATGAGAGTAGGAAGACAGAGATTCATTTAATAAATTGCAAATTGAAACGTTTCAAGTTAAAAAGAAGAAATGTTTCTTGGAATATGAACATTAAAATAATTATATAAATGTGCGTAAAATAATAATATTAAATTAATTTAGACAAATAGTTTCAAATTAAGATAAATTATATTTTTTATGTAAACCCTTGACTTTATATTCGATTGTGGTTCAACTATTAAAATTAATTTGAAATGCAAAGAGACATAGGACATTTAATAATTAATTATTTAATTAATAATAATGTTTAATTATTAATAATGTTCGACTTTGACATATAGAGCGTTATTGTTTATACGGCCTTGTTATCATTCATTCGATGACTCTCATGTAGTAAAACTATATAGTACGAACCACTCAATATATTGTCGAATAAATAATTCCTATTCAAAGCGCAATTGCGACAAATATTGGAAAATAATTTACTATGATTATTATACAAATGACGATTAAATATTTAACATTTTTTTTTATTTAAATGCAATTTGTCATTCGGATTAAAATCACGTAAAATCAAACGTAAACTGTCAATTACAGATCAAAGAAAATCATTAATTAAAACAAATTAAAGTAATGAAAAGCAGAGTACTTTACATAAATTTATTTTTTATTGCGTTAAATATGTCGCAGCGGCAATAAATAATTTTATTTTTTGCGATGTTTTAGCGTTTATTTTTTTACATGTATAATGAACTGTTGTTCATCATGAGATTCATTAAATCGAAATTTATCGTATAAAGAATTGGTGAATTTAATTTTATTATTAAATATTTATTTTTAATTTTAACTTGTATATTCACTGATGTTAAAATATGAAATAAATAAAATCTCTCAATTATAAAATAAATTACAAATTATATATTGTATATTATACTTTTCTTTTTTTAGTGCCTTGTTCGAGTGTTAACCATCATGTCATCGCAATCATCATTATTGCTGACTAGATTTGTTTTGCAATTATGACAGATTATTTAGAAGATATATTAGACGTGTCAATTTTTCGAAAACTTTGACTCACAATTCTGCATGGTTGTTTGATTCGCCGTAAGAAGTTCTTCGTGTTCCAATAGCAGCTCGACCGCCTCCACAAACTCCTGATCGATGGCATGGAGCAGGGCGTCCTTGGTCTGTACTCCCATCACCACAAGTAACTCGACCATCTCTAAATTTTCCGCTTCTAAAGCCAGCGTCAAGGCACCACGACCTAGACTGTCCACACAATTCATATCCAGTAGTTTTTCCTGAAATGATTGAACGGGTACGTCGCAAAAGGTCTTAGTGCTTCATTTTACAAAAATAGTTGATGTGATTGAAGTTTGGAGTGTTCTTGGAGCAAAAATTAAAAATTAGTTAATAACAACCAGGATTATAAAAAATGTTTCTAATTATATCAAACTTACGTAAATTGTTGTTACAATTTTCATCTGTAAACTTTTTTTGTTTGTACATTTTAGTCATATATATATATATGTATAACATTGATAAAAATTTAATTAAATTATAATTTTTTTCTATTGTATTTGGAAAGAAGAAATTTCTCTCATTAAAAATGTAGAAACCTCTGCGTTAAAAAAAATTGACATTTTACGAGTTAGGAATAGTCTTGATTTCGCTTAACTTCGGACACTTTATGTTACCTTGTTTTTATTTGCAAGTTGCAGAAGCTTCTTCACATTGGGCAGGTCACCTCTCTCCACGGCCAATAGATACTTTTTTTCTTCGAGAGTAAGCGGACGTGGAAGGTGAATCACATAATCGTCCGTGCTCTGACTCGTGGCCTCCATATCCTTTTGAGTCTTCTTGTCGCTCATCTCGCAAAGTTTATTCTGCTACTTCGACAACAATCACTTCCACTCCAAGTTATTCACAAACAGTCATCATAATTATTTTTTCATCGATACGTAAGACGACGAGACACTGAAATGCCGAGCGAAAAAACTTCGGAGATCCCGTTGAAGAAAAAAATTATTTGATGAAGAGATACGTTACGTTTCTTAGTTGAAAATATGTTCTGTTTTCGTGTGACAACTGTTATATAGGGGATGATGAAAATTAAATTACGCGTATTAACCTAGACCCTGTTTATTTACATTGCGGATGGAACAGTTACCTATGTACTTGACTAATTTGCTTATAGATATCTCGTTAGGTTTTCTAACGGATTGCATTCGGAATAAAAGTGTCTGGGTTACTGAAAACGACGCAAAGTGAACAGCACTGCCAGCTGCAGCGATCGCAACTAATAAGCTGGATAAGAATTTTTAACATATCTGCGTGTTACACAATATTTTGCAAAAATTAATATATCTTAAATTAAATATATAAAAATATATAAAATTAATATATCTTATAAATATAACTTTATTTATTATAACTTCTTTGATTAATTTATCTTATTCTTTTTCAAAATGATAATGTTGGGGAAAAGGTTAATGTTTTATTGTATATTTTTAATTTTTAATTTTTAATATCGATACATATATTCTTCTGACTTTTTAAATTTGAAATTAATATTTTATTTTAATTTTCCATAAATTTTTGAAATTTCGAAAAATATTTTATGATCTACTTTCTCTCGGTTTTAAGTATTAATTACTCGAAAAATATCGATATTTTTGTAAAAATGAAAATGTCGAAGGATATGTAATGAAAATGACGTTTGATTTTATTTCTGCATTTTAGTCTGAATGATTCTAAAATTTCTCTAAGCTGTTTCTATATAAGCTGCATTAAAATAGAAATCAAAAGCCGTTAAAATCTGATTATTCTAAACTGTTAAATTGTGGTTCTCATCGACATTGAAATTAAACAGATGGCGAGAAACAGCGGAGAATACCACGAATGCGTTCCACAAATATTTGATCTGCTATTGACGAGACATATTCGACGTAGTAATGTTGGGGAAACATTCGAGTTGTAAAGTAAACTGCAATGTTGAGAACGGTCGCTCAACAACGATTCATTAAAGGTAGAACGCTTAACAATCCTGCGCGATATCATGCGGATTAATAATCCTAATTACACGACAAAGAGATTCATTACGCGGAATCCGCTTAATGAAACTTCTTTCGTGTAGCTCATCGGCTTTTCCATGACGTAATGACAGTGACAACGATGACGAAAGTGAAGAAACAGCGATAAATAAAAATTCGAGAGTTGCATTATGACGAGATAAACAATTTAGGAAGAGAGAATAGAAAAAAAGAGCGATTGTTTGCTCTTTCTTCGCGGACATGGTTGTACATACTTGATGTTTGTTCAGTGACTCAATATAAAGGAATATGATATCCATCGATCATGAAATACCTACATTCTTTGATCCTTTTCGTTTCTTATTTTTTATCCCATTGTTGTTACATTTTTCTATCGTTTTGTTTATATCGTATACACACAAGCTGTTTTAGAAATTAACTACTGTATTTGCGCATAAAAAAAAGAAGAGAAAAAGTAAACGGAATGACAGCTATTTTATTGAACAGATAGAAATAATTCACACATTTTGAGTGTTTCGATGGATTTAATCATTTTGATTATTTTGATCACTTTTATCGTTTCGATTATTTTAACCAAGACTAATCTTGGTATCTTGTAATTTTATATTTAATATATTTTTATTATATTTATTGTATAAATTTATATTATTTATATTATAATTGTTACATAATATAATATGTATTATGTAATATAATATTTATTATATTATTTCATTATACTTACAGTTTGAATATGTTTGATTTATACACCCTTATTCTCTTCGAGAATCCAAAAAGGAAAAGAGAGAGAATTAGTGAATGCTACTTAAAAGAAGCATTAAAACTGCTTTTATTATTGTATATAAAATATATCATAAGTAGATTACAAAATATAATCGCTTAAGGCTAATCTCATATGTAAGTATTAGTCCCCTATGAATGTTCTAGTTTATTGATATTCTCACGCTTTTCGCTTATTTAGGAATTATTGTGCGCGCCAAAACAAGATTATGTGTATATGCATGCACGAGCATTGATAAATTCAATTAAAAATTTGTTTATTTATTGAAAAAAACTTTCCTAATTAATAAATTTCAAAGTTAAAATTATAAATGTTATTAATTTAATGCAAATTTCTTTACATTATATTTATTAATAATAATTAAAAGTTATTATTAAAAATTGAAAATTAATTTATTTACGTAACAATTAATTTTAATAAGGAGAATAAAAAAATATATAGCCATAACTTCAACAACTGTTTAATATAACTAGAGCTTTATTTATAACCGCATCATTTTTTAAATTAAAATTCTTGAATTGCATTTCTTGTATTAATATTCTATACTATGAGTTTAATATACTAACAATAAATAATTTGCTATCATATAATTATACTTGATAACAAATCTGAGTTTGATTTATGAGTCGACACAATTATTTTCATATATAACTTCCTGCTGTACAAATCTGCTTATAGTTATAAATACTAAATTTATGTAGCATATACATACATATATGTCATTTCGTTCAATCTAACCGAATATAATTACACATACAAAACAAAGTTTATTCCTTGATAATAAAAGCGTAGACATATAATCACAAAAAATTCTTGTTGAAAATTTCTTCGTTCGTATTTTCTGTAGAAGTTTTAAATATTGAACTTTCATAAATTACATAATTAATTAATATATTTTTATGCATGCATTGCAATAATAATTTTTATACATAGATTGCAAATTTTAAGATTATATTGTCAAAGAATAATATAGCTTTGCTTTGCGCGAGAAATTATAATCGATTAAATTAAACGAAATGAAAAAAATATATATAGAGAGAGAGAGAGAGATACATATATATAAAATAATCCTCAAACAATGCAGAAGTTATTTAAAATTTTTTTGTATATCAAACAAAAATAAATATGAAATATTGCACAAAACAGTTTTTCTCATATTTTTATCTCATTTATTTTTAATTAAATATATATATATATATATATATATATATATATATACATACAATCCAAACATATGCTGTCATAAATTACAAATCAAAACTGCATCAAAAGGAAAGCTTTTTATATTTAGAAACGAGTTAATAAAATTAAATAAAGATTATGCTAATTATAATTTACAAGTTAAAGAATCCCTTGCTAAAAAAGGTATGTTATTTATTCTCAAATATCTCGAAGTATCGTTGCCTTTAATCCGCGATGCCGATTGGTTCCGTCATAGCGTTTACTTCGTGAACGGCTGTCATTGCATATTTTGACAGTTGTATGTATCGAGGGGTTATAGTGTAGTGACAGTATATAATGTATATTAAAGGATTTTATGTATTTAATAGTTAAAATCTGATGAATAAGTGTTTATTAATTTTGCGATTGAGTGGTTTCGATTACAGTTTCTAAGTTTCTTAGAAAAGGAAATAGAAATTCGGTAAATTAAAATTATGTATATATAGAAATTCAGTTAATTTAGATTTTTAGATTATGTACATATTTCCATTATAAGATATAATACCGAATTTGAAATCAATATTTATTAATATTACAGATGTATTATCTATGTTAAATATAATAACAAAGGAAATCGATAACTGTAATACTGACAACAAGATTTTGAAAGAGATAATTGAAAATTTAAATAATAATATAGAAATAATGAATCATACAAACACAAAATCGATATGTACGATTAGCAATAATATTAATATTGAAGAGATAATATTAATACAGTTATATTCCAAAAGAAGTTTATAAAATGCTTGATACTAATTTAATGAAATTTGTAGAAAGAGATGAAAAGTACAACTCTGGAATTCAGTCATCATGTCAAATTTAATGTCAAGACATAATAAACATTTCATAAATTAAAATTATGTCAGTGCATAATAGAAATTCGATGAATTAAAATTACGTCAAGACATAATAATAATTCAAGAATTTTTATTATGTCGAGACATAATAAGAATTGGATGAATTAAAATTATGTCGAGACATAATATAAATTCAATAAATTAAAATTATATCGAGACATAATAAAATTCGATAAATTACTATTATCTCGAGACATAATAAATAACGATGAATTAAAATTATGTTGAGACATAATAAAAATTTGATGAATTAAAATTATGTCGAGACATAATAATAATTCAAGAATTTTTATTATATCAAGACATATAATATAAATTCAATAAATTAAAATTATATCGAGACATAATAAAATTCGATGAATTATTATTATCTCGAGACATAATAAATAACAATGAATTAAAATTATGTCGAGACATAATAAAAATTCGATGAATTAAAATTATCAAGACATCGATGAATTAAAATTATGTCAAGACATAATAAAAATTCGATGAATTAAAATTATGTCGAGACATAATAAAATTCGATGAATTAATGAGACATTACGATGAATTAAAATTATGTCGAGAGACGATGAATTAAAATTATGTCAAGACTTAATAATCGATGAATTAAAATTATGTCAAAACATAATAATAATTCAATAATTTTTATTATGTCAAGACATAATATAATTTCAATGAATTAAAATTATATCGAGACATAATAAAATTCGATGAAAAGTTAATAATTGAAGAGCTTTCGCTTGCTAGTTTTACTTTTTATTCGTAAATAACGTCACTATATAAATAGCATCACAAAAAACGAACGCGCCAGGTGAAAGTGACGACGACAAAGTAAGAAGACGCGTCTTTCCTTCCGCTCTGTCATCCTGCGGAAGAGGAAAGTCCTTTCAACGGGCAAGAAAAACACGATCAATTGGTTGATGACGACGAGGAAAAAGGAGCGATGAGAGGAAATATCCGCGCAATAAATCGAAGCCATAGCTGTAAGCGCATTTCAGTGTCTCGTCTTGTCCTTTGGTTTCCGGACGCATTTCCTGTGTTTCCACGTTCGCGCAAGTTAATGAAATGACGTCCCGTGTTGGCGTTTTGCGGATACTGTGGTTGCTGTTGGCTCTCGCAACCCTTCTTGATGGTTCGCCGGCGATTAAGAAGGAACGCAAAGCACCGACCAATTTTCGGTACTCCGAGGATTTAGATGCAGAGGCTACGAATCACGGAGGTATGTTGTAATCTTTATTAGAATATAAAAAAATTATTAAAAATATAAAAAATCAATTAAAGTGAAAATTACATTATTTAATATAAAATAATTGTAAAATAAATGTCAAATATTAATTTTAAAGATATATTCTTATAATTGATTACCTCATATTACCTTTGTGAATTTTTGACAATTTTGATTCAATTGATTTTTATAAGTATGACAGATTCAGAATTAAAATTGATTCACATTTATATGCGCGTTAAAGAGATGTGTATAATGAAATAAAAAATATTTATTTATAAACTATCAAGTTAGATATAAATAACATTTAAATCAATATATTTGCATACGTGTCGTACTCTCTTTCGATTCATATGACGGAAATGAGGATGAGATAATCGTTTTTGACATTGACGAGCGGAAATACAGCTGCAAGAACAGAGCTTTCGTTGGATTATGCAGATTTGCTGTCGATCGTGCTAATTTATATGTGTCAGAGTATTAGAAGCATATTCGAACTGTTAAACGATATGTGTGCTGCATTTAATCTCTAATTGTTTTCATATCGTTTAAATTTATTTTTATTTTCTTTCTTCTGCTCTAAAATTTAAATAATTCTATTATATTTCGCATAATTTGTCGAATTTATATAATAAATGTCTAAAATAATATCGAGAGAGTTGATTTATACAATATATTGCAGATAATTCTCTCGCGTTAATCACTTAATGTAAAGCAGAATTGATATAATAAGCTTCCCACGCACGTTTCCATTTTTCCATCAAACAAGCAACTAATTTTATCTCTGATATTGTTTCGATGTTATCCCTAAATTGAAAAAGTAATATTTTCAAACGTAAACAGCTGTTTTTGAAGCATTGCCGCAAAAAAGAGTCGCATGTAATGGGAAGCATATCGTGTTTCTCAAAGTAAATGACAAATGATCTCTTTCTTGATGAGGCTGGTTTATTTACATATTATTCGAACACAGGCGGTAGCAAACATCGCGAAGAGGGTGGCGGCTCGGAACACGAAGAGGATCATCATAACACGCACGGTCACAAAGGCGACAAGGTATGACGTTTTCTCAGCCATCGAGACGTCTTGTCGACGATTTTTTCCCTTTTTTTATCGTCCTTATAATATAAGAGATCCCTTTTTTCCGCGCTATCTCGGGAATATTTATTACATGGTCGTTTTTGTACGAACGTTGTTCCCAAACGAGACAGGCCTCCCGATATATATATGTATATCCCGCACGTGATATTATATATTAAAGAATCTTACTTCTTTGTGTGTCGGCATCGAATGTCCTCGATATTCGCTTTATGTTTCTGCGAATCTCTCTCATTATCAGTCCTGAAAACGAAGCGATGGATTTTATTTTTTTTAATCGAAAATTGACGTTCTAATTTTTTATCATGAAATGGAGACTTCGCAATATAGTTTAGCAGCAGTATGAATGTCTCTCGTTATCTTTAATGCTCTATTATTGGGTCGATTCTTAGTGGCAATCTATAATGCTTTATTTATGTAGAAAATATTTTGTTATAAAACTTGTCAATGAGATATATCTTGATCGGGGGAAAAAAGGGTTACAAGGTCTTCCACGAGTTTGAGAAGAGCGATAAGGGCCATCTTGACGAGAAGAAGCAGAAGCACGTGTACGATGAGGAGAATGGTGAAGAGGAAAAGAAACACGAAGAGGCTGGTCATTATGGTGAGGAACATGAAGGCGAAGAGGGTGAAAAAGGCGCGAAATTCGGCGAAGAGGGAAAACACCAGAAGGGATACAGTACAAAAGGAGAACACAGTGTTTTCAAGAAAGTACGAATCACATGATGTATTTTTTGTCATTCAATAAAATTATTATTAAAAAGAAAAAATAATTAAAAATACATTATTATTTATTTTATCGATATAAAAGACACTCGCAATTGTTACACACATATTAATAATTGCGTTGATCTCATCAAGATAGTGGTTGGTAAATTTTTTATCACATTTTAATAACATTTTATTATAATTAAATTAAATTTGTTTTCAATTTTATTATAAATTTTATTGAATATGATGTTTTTTGTACGTGAAAGACATAACATCTAATTATATTTATTTCAGTGATAAAAATTTATAAGTGATACTTTTGTCTTATTTTTCTGAATTAATATATTATCGCTTTTCAAGGATGAGTATGAGAAGAAACATGATTTTTACGACGAATATCACGAAGACGGAGGAAACGAAAATCATGGTGGTTGGCATGAAGAACACGAGGGCAAGAAGGGTGGCCATGAAAAGAAGGGCTATCTGCATGCGGGACACCACGAGGTAATTATCAAATAATTTAAATGATTTTTTTTTCATTACAAAAATTTGTTAAAATTGTGATTTTATCCTTTATTTCAGGGACAACACGATAAGGAGAAGAAACACGAAGGAGGCCACCATCACAACGAGAAGAAAGGTCACAAATCGGCTGAAGGGCACAAGAGTCATCATGAACATGATGAGAAACATGGTAATAAAGGCGGTCACGCATCAGGGCACAAATTTTCGAAATCGAAACATAATTGACGCGAGACGAGATGAAATTCATCCTTACATAATTGTCAAACGCAATTCGCTTATATCTACTTTAATAAGAATTTGGTGGTCACATCAAGATACGTTTGGAATAATATTGAGTGGTGTATATCAGATGCAACAAACTTATCAAAAATTATGATATATAATAATTAGGTATTTTATTCTTGTCGTCAAGCAAGTAACATACGAATTTGTCTGCAGGGATTTTAGAATTATTATAATCAATAAGTCTTATTTCATTTAATACATATACACATATATATATATATTTTATAATATTTTTATCGATAAAAATTTTACCGATAAACAATTAGGTAGCATAAAGATACTTAATATATTAAATATATATATGTACATTATATAATATGTGAAACGTATAATAAGTGGATGTATTTTCAATAAATATCTATTTAAATTATTATTATAAATGCCTATTTAAGTTATCTATTTAAACTGCGAGAGTACATAGTTGAGTAAGTTTCGAATGTCATACTGTCATTATTTTATTTTATCGCGGTGATTGTTGGGAAAAGTGAAAATCTTAAAAAGCGTAAAATTGGTTGCGCTTCAATGCGCATTAGTATTGTACACAAAATAGAACTCGTTGATGGTCTGAGGCAGATGTATGGTATCGAGGCGACCTTGCGAGTCTTCCTCTTATTTAGCGACGCGAAGCTTTTTATTTTAATTTCTATTTTATTTTAACATACCTTTGTACACAATTATAATTCTATTTTAGAAGAAAGAAGAAGAAAAAGAGCTTAAAAACTATTTTCTTACATTTTCTTGCGTATTTGCAATAATACTTATTATAAGCACTACATAGCATTTAAATGGATTGCTGGAATGCATTCTGGAAAAAATTTCAATTCTAATTGAATTTAATAAATAACTTTCTAGGAAGAAACTTTCTTTGAGATTACATTTTGCGTGGAAACTTTAACGTCGATTAAAGTAGGTGGATATTTAAAAGAGAGTATTTAACGTAATAAAATTATTAATAATAAATTGATTCAATAAATATACATAAGTAAAATGATTAAACAGAATGATTAACCGAGCAGTTATGTGACATGTTCAAGGATTTATAAAAATGATAACAGCTTTATATACAAGTCTTTGTAACGAGGTAGAATCATTATATTATTATTTTAAAAAATTATTTCTGTGTTAAAAAAAATTACTTATTTATTAATTAATTTATTAAGATATACAATAAAATTTTATTTTTATTATGCAAATTATTGTTATTATATACATTTATTTTAAATATGCATTATCGCTTTATATAATATGCAGTGTTTTCGTAATTAATATACAAACGTATATATTGACATAGAAATATTCAGAACGCATAATCTTGCAATAAGATTGATATATTACCGAGGGAATTGATCACAAGTGCAATTGTGCTTGATGACTCTATTTTCTGGTGAATTTACCCAATGATCAAACTTACTCTGGCAATCAATTACTGTGTGTGCAGTCGATCTGGTGGTATCACACGCAGTGATTGGTTTGGTGCTTATCCTTACCGCTTCCGCAAATTTACCTACAGCTCTTGATGCAATTATTCCCTTTAAGTTGGTCGTAATTCTATGATTGTATGATAAACAATATTAGCAATAAGAAAATAATATACGTTTAAAATTTTAAATATCATATTTAAAAAAGTTTTCTCACATAGATACAATAATACATTCGCATATTAATTGTTTTTAATAATTTATTTATTACGTAGACTGTTAGAAGGATTCTAATTCTAACTGAATATATTATACGACTCTTATAGCTCTAAAAAATTAAAATTAAAAAAATAATTCTACATACATGATGAATGTTTCAGTCTTAAAGAAAAAAGGAAAAGAGTTATAGAAAGTTAATTACAAAGATTAAAAGGAATAATTCTTTACATGTATGTGTTACTTCTATTGTTATCGCCAGAGAAGATTTCAGATTTGCGATATCAGAAGGGAAGTATAGCGTTTTATTTGTCGACAGACCTTTTCGAGTCCTTTGCGCCTGATTTTTACGACGTCGCATGTTAATAAGAATGTACGTGAAGAAATGTCGCATATAATGAAATCAGTATTTGTTCGTCGGGGCGAATATCGCCCAGACGATGAGTCTCGCGAAGATTGTTAAAGACGATGTTTGTCTGCGCAGGATTCCTCGTGAGTGGGAAAATCGTCTCATACTGACGTAAGTCCATGAATTCTCCTTTACTCGGCAAGGGAGAAAATAATCGTGCGATTCTCTGTCACGTTTCAATAATGTATCATCGATTCATATGATTCTATACAGAGTACTTCAGATCTAACGGATTATCTTTCAGCCATAGATTTGCTTTGATTAATTAGAAATTAATTTTTCTTTAGCAAAAATATGAAGAAAGAAAATATCAATTATCACAAATTTTCTATTTTCAGCATTAAATATCCTGATAATTAATTCTCAATCTGTTAAACTAAAATTTATTTGAAATTAAAAAAGAGAAAGATTTCGTTATCCACATTTGCAATTTAATTCGCCCCAAAATTCTCTCTTTTTTTATTTCTGATCGATTAATAATGTAAAAATTATTTGACAATTTTATTAAAAAAAATAAATTATGTATCAAATAAAAAAGAGAATTTCTGTAAATAGAAAATAACAATTTATAAAATCTGTAAAAGATTAATAATCCGTAAAAAAATTAATAATCCTGTAATATATTAATATAAAAAAAATCAGATTTATCGAAATTATAATTGTTTTGATAATAATTATTCTAATATTTCGAAAATGCCATTACTTTTTCAAACTCACTGAGATTTCGAAACGTTTATATCGAGGCAACAGTTTACATAACGAATTCTCTTCAATTACGTCTTTTAATTAAGACAGTCTGGGGTTGACGAGTCTTTGACGCTGTGTACAAGTAATGTAAATTGCCCTATTTAAGCTTGAATGCACATAAAGTTCGATGTAATAATCACGCGAAAAATCGAGGCATGAAATTTCTTTTCACTTCGGCTGACACAATCAATTTTAATTTCACTTAACCGAACGAAATTCTTCTGCAGACACATTTAAGATCAAGCTGTTGTGTTGAAATTATTTTACAGAATGATGATTCTAAATTTGTCTTAAAAAGATAATAATAGAGAATAAAAATAAAACAATATAGTAGATGAATTTTAGATTACAGAATAAAATATTGGATATACATATATACGTATATATCCAATATTTTATTTTTATATTTTCTTTCAATAATATATAGCTTCAGTAATTATTTATTTCTTAGTATAAGCGCGGGATACATTAATTACTGAAAGAGTACAGGTATAAGTAAGAGCCATACGCGGACATCAGTGCATTAATTTTAAGTCAGAATTAATTTTCTTTGTTGAAGCTGATTTTTTTGTTCATAAGTAATTAATTTTCTTGTTACCAAGAAATTAAATAAATTTTTAATTCGAGATTTTATTTTTATAAATATCTCTGTCCCGCCAAAGAAGTGTAGGCGAGAAAAATATCGGGGCGAAATTAAATCAGGAAGCTAACTTGGTTTCGTTTTTCAATTCAGCGACTTTGTCTTAATATTTTTCTCGCCTACATATCTTTGGCTTTCACTTGCGCCTATTACATTTTTCATTGCAATATAATTATTACAGTTGTCCCTGTGTTTGGTGCCAAAAATTATGAGTATGGTTACTTACTTTTAGATTATTTACGACAGAAAAAAATTTATTTGTTAATAAACAAGGTCTGGAAGAGTTCCGTTTAACGAGATGTTTATATATATGCGCACACATTTCTGCGTAGACGCCTAAATACTCGTTTAACAATTTATTACAATCGTCCCTGTGTTTGGTGCCAAAAATTATGAGTATGGTTACTTACTTTTAGATTATTTACGACAGAAAAAAATTTATTTGTTAATAAACAAGGCCCCGGAAGAGTTCCATTTAACGAGATGTTTATATATATGCGCACAAATTTCTGCGTAGACGCCTAAATACTTGTTTAACAATTTATGTATGCATATATAATTGGAAATACATTCATATACATGTACATATACATATTTTTTCAAGAAATTTTTTAAAATTTATCGAAGCATTGCAAAGAAAGAAGGAGAGAGAAAAATACGAAAGAAGATAAATTAGTTCCGTTGTTATGTCAGTTGAAAATAATTATTTGTGATACATTTTTTTTAATCATGTACAATCTCCGCTATCGCGGGATTGTAATTTACCCCATTCAATTCTCTTTGAAGTAATAATCTACGTGCCGGTTAAAACCGCAGGAGATCGTGTGTGACTTTACTGCGATGCGCGTCGTGTTCCGGGTGCAAAGATGCATTATTAACCTGAGAGACTGGATTATAAAAGAGTCCGCATTACGATGATACGGAAATGTAAAATTTATATGATGCGTGGATTAGTCAATGGCTGTTTGATTTCCGTTGATCAATATTGCAAATAATTTGCGACAGCTGCGTTCCACGTGAGCGCGGATTAAGCTTTCTTTTTTTTTGGGCAAATCAACTATAACGCAAGCGTAAAATATTGCATATATAAATGTGTAGCAACTGCGCCCAGAGTGATATATATAAAAATAGCGCGTAAGAAATTGTACAAGAATAAAATCATCTGAAAATATCGCGTATATATATATCGTGGATATATATTTTGCATACCTGCGGATACACATTTTCCGCGTGTTACGATACTCCGTCGCGCAAAAAGCATCGCGGCGCATTGCGCAAGGCGCGTCAATAATGACGTTAAATAATGAGAGACCGGGATGTGCTTTCAGATCGGCTTCGGCCGAGCGGCGACGATCTTGTGCAACCGAACAGAGAAAGGAGGAAGCCAAATCCGCGAAGAACGGATCAATCGCAGGGTCGACGGTTCCTAAGACACTCCGAGGTGTCTAATTTAGCTGTGAAACCGTCACATCATTCGCGAACAGAGGAAACGATCTCGATATAATTGCCCGGTCGCGTCAAGATCGCGGTTCAGTCTTTGCCGCGAACTCGACGAATCATGAAAACCTGTCGGAAATCGGTAGCCACGGTGCTACTGTTGTCGATTCACTTGGTAATATATCACGATAAAGATTTTTAAAGACGTCTTGAAACAATGTGTATATATATAAACATATGAGGAAGAATAAAGATAATTGATTTTAATTAATTATTGTAACATGTCATTCTCTATAATCTATATAATATACGTACGCTTTATACCACGAGAATATTCCGAATACACAAATAAATTCCGCAGTAAATGCGCAAACATGAGGGCTGCCAGCAGCAAAGGGTGGCGCGTGTTTATGTCAACTTTTAATTAAAACGTTGCAACGAGGGGGAAATATAGTGGTGTAGTGTCCGATATTGTAAAATATTATATACGGGATCTTGTCCGAATTGACATCAATCTAATTAATATGCGTGACATATTTAGCAACAATAAATTTTATTGCATTTACGAGGGAATAATTATCGCTATTACCGCGCGAATAAATATTACAAAATAATGAAAGAAGCCGTATCACAGCGCAAATTATCAGATTTTCGAATGAATAAAATTTGATCGACGCTTTGTGCGATGTGCTCTCTCGCAAAATAATGCTCGCTGCACAATATACGAATCGAATTATTACGTATTTATAATATCAAAAGTCGACATTATATATCTATATATATGTTTACAGCTAATGTTACGAATCGACGACGTAGTTGCCGAAGTTAAACCCAAAATAATTCTGGAAGAAGTGATTATTACCGGAAGCGGAAACGACACTCGTGTAATAGCGAACGCAGTGGCCGAAGATGTCTCAAAAATTGGCGACGGGATAACTTCGCTTCTATCCAAGCAGACGTCGTCGAATTTGGATCAGGACGCGGCACAATCCGTGAACGTCGACGTGAACGAGGACGACCTGGAGAGGCTGAAGCGCGTGATCGCGAAATACGAGCCGCAGAGGATCACGTCGAGAATAATGAAGAGGAAGATCATCAATGGCGGTAAATAAAAGCGCGATTACTTTTTTCTCTCTCGATAAAGGCAGATATAAGAACGTTCCATATATATATATATATGTATATATCGTCGGAGAAAGAGAGAGAGAGAGAGAGAGAGAGACGATCAGTTTCTATATTTGTTCTTCAGATGTACTACAAGGCAAGGTCGCGGGATCGACGACGGGTCTCGAGAGGGCTTATGACGAAGTGCTGCGAAATATTTCGCGAAGGGCGCCCGAATTGACATCTAGCAACGTTGACGCGACATTGAATCCTTATTTGTCCCAGACGAGGAGGAATCTGATGGGAATTTACGTTCCGGAAACGACGATTCACGACGACGCTCAAAAATCACGTTCCGATGTTGACTCTTCGCCCACCTTAAACGACAAGAAGAAATTACTTAAAAAGTATTTGCAATTAAATCGCACCTTTACAATTCCTCGGGGCTCGCCGGAGCTCGAGGAATCAAGATTCAACGAAGAAACAGCTGACGAGTCGATCATACCTGGAAGATATTTCAAAGTTCCCAAAATAAAGACGAAGCCGAACGAATCACCATCAAACATTTATTCCGAATCGACGGAAAAGCCTGAACGCAAGTGGAACATTCAAGACTCTTCGTTTATCCCGCGATTGAACAATAATTCGTACGGCGCTTTTAACGTGAATAACTTGAACAATTTGAACTTTCCGAGTGATCCAAACACCGTTCAATTATTGTCCAAGTATGACAAAATGCCGAGGCCGTTCTCCTTATTGCGTTCGCCCGATTCACCTGTCATCGAGATACCGTACGGAAAACCGAGTCCCTCACCAGCGAGTTTAAATCGCCAACAGGTTGCTCGATCTTCCACGAGTGTTCTTCCGCTGATTCTCCCAACGGAGACCCTCTTCGATCCATCTTCGGCACGTCGTTACGTCCCGATAAAGCGCGCGAACCACTTGAAACCTGAAGGAGGCTCCTTCAACACCGAGGCGAGTCCCGCGAATGAGAGAACTACCTTTGGAAATTACGGTGCACCTTATATAATCGACACCACGAAGAGTCCTCTGGTTTCTAATCAACAAAGGATACCTTCAGCGAATTATTACGCCATTACGGAGAATCCGGTAGAGCAGGATGTTACGAGGACGAATTCCCCGAAGATCATTCACGTTCCTGGTCAAACGTTCATCCCGTATACTCTTCAGCAAGAGAAGGATCCGCAAGCCGTTCGCAGACATGGATTTTCACCCAATGTCGCCTATAATATTCCCGATGACAGACGATCAAATTTAAATGCGAATGCCGGACTCGAGTTGTACAACAAACTCGCAAGTCTGTACTCGGCTAATGTACTTAATAATGCATTCAATGTCCCGAAAACGGTGACGCAAAATTATCCAAATCTTGGGCAACACGTTTCCACCCCTTCTTACGCAACTTTGAATCCTATTTCTCTCTCGTTGCCGAAAATCCGACCGAATGTTCCCGTTAAATCTGCGCCGTATTACGACAGTGGATTATTAATTTCGCAAAGAGCAGAGGAAAAGGAACTTAATGACAATAAAAAACACGAAGAAAGTGTAAAAGTAGACGAGTCTCGTGCAGTCGATAAGGATGAGAGTAATACGGAAGCTGCTGATAATGAGAATCATTTTATAAATAAAGCTCCGATCAATCATGGATCTTACAAGAGTCACAAAACATCAAATGAACAACACGAGAAAAAAGATCGCGAAGAGGAAGACAAAGAAGATCGTTATCAACAGCCGAAGCACAATTATGACTATCAGGATAAATATCAGAAATATAATAAGGACGATAAAAATAATGACAGGCAGGAAAAATACAACGTTCGACATAAAGATAATGAAGATAAAGAGGAAGAAGAAGAAGAAGAAGAAGAAGAAAAAGACGCCGATGAAACTCAAGAGGGCGAATATGTCAGCCCGGCAAAAAATCAAGACGAGCGTACTGATCGTTATGAGTATAATAAACATAAATATGATAGAGACGATTCTGGAGAAGAGGAACGCGATAAACAGCGTTACGATAGTAAAAAACATGATAAAGGGAAGAATCTTCGCGACGAACACGATGATGATGAGGCGGACAAAGTTAAGGACAAATTTGTAAGTGGCAATAAATATTTTGATAAGAAACATGATAAAGGGAAGAATCTTCGCGACGAACACGATGATGATGAGGCGGACAAAGTTAAGGACAAATTTGTAAGTGGCAATAAATATTTCGACGGTCCACGATATAGTGATCACGAAGCGGGAAAAAAATATCGCGAACCCTACGATCGAAAAAAAGCTCGGGACGAAGATTCCGAAGACGTAGCTGAAGACAAACTGGTCGCTCGACGCTTTAAAGACGAATATCGCAGACAACGCGAAAGATACGAGGAGGAAGAAAGAAAGGGCGACGAAACGACGCAAAAACCTAAACCCTATCGACATGGCCAGGTTACTTCTCGAAGAGATTCGTATCGCGAAGAGCATCCTAAGCGCGTTCGCGAAGAATATCGTCAGCATCCTCGACAGGATGTCGAAGATGATGAAGATCTGTCTCGTCATCGTGGACGTGACAATGAAAATGATACGGGGAAAGTGCGTGATCACGAGCACGGCGAGACTCAGGAACACGCGCATAAACACGAGGAGCATCACGAAAAGAAGAAGGATCACGGGGGCGATCACAAATTTGAGGAGGGCGAAGGCGCGGAACATAAAGACGAACATCATGGACACAAAGGGGAAAAAGGGCACAAGGTAAATTGTCGCGATAATTTTTTTATTGCGTCGTTTAACATCTTTACATCTCATTTGATCAATTTTAATACCGAATAAATTTAATAATACTATATAATAATGAAATTAATATATTAACATAAATATAAAATAATATAATAAATGTCAAAGTAATATAAAACAGGAAATAAAAGATAAAATAATATAATAAGGATATAATATAAAATAAATAATAAAATCCCTTTGCGGTTTATAGGATTACAAAGATTGGCACGAGCACGAGAAGGCCGAAAAGGGACATCACGACAAGGAACACTCCAGCAAGGAGTACGACGAGAAAGCTGGCGAGGAGAAGAAACACCAAGAGAAGGGCGGCTATCACAAGGAGCATCATCACGACGAGGGTGGTAAAAAGGAAGCAGAGTTCGGTGAAAAGGGTGAACACAAAAAAGGACACAGCACGCATGGTCAGCATTCGGTGCACAAGAAGGTAACACAAAAATTTATTTTTATTAATATAATAAAATTAATATATATATATATATAAATTTTTTTCTATTATTAATAAAAAATTGATATATATATATATATAAATTTTTTATTAATAATAGAAAAAAAATTTTTTTATATATATGATTTATATATATATATATATATATAATATAATATATTTATTTTATATATTAATAAAAAATTAATTTATATATATATATATAAATTTTTATTAATAATAGAAAAAAATTTTTGTATTATATACGACGATATATTTGATATACAGGACGAATACGAGAAGAAGACCGAGTTCTTCGACGAGTTCCACGACGACGGCGAAGTGGAGAAACACGGCGAGCATCATCACGAGCACGAGTCGAAGAAGGGCGGCCACGAGAAGAAGGGTCATCATGACGCCGCCGATCACGAGGAGAAACACGGCAAAAAGGGGAAGCACGAGAAGGGCGGTCATCATCACGAGCACAAGGGCCATAAGCTGGACGAAGGTCACGATCATCATTATAATCACGACGAGAAGCACGACAAGAAGGAGGGACACGAGAGTGGGAAAAAGTGGAGCTTCAAGAAGGGCGACCACGGTGGCCATCGTTGAAGAGTACCTCATTATTACAATAGTTTGCAGAGACGGTGGTTTGACAATTGTCATGATTGTCATTGTCCTCGTGATCGCGGAATAATGGATCAACAATAGGGTCGCATGTCCGAATTATCGTTGATATCGATCACGTTTAATCGAAACGTTGGGTATTATACTATACACTTTAGAGAGGGAGACACGTCATATGTGTCTGATATCTTGTCGTTACCTATATTGATCATTTAATAATTGAGATACGGTATATAGATATATTATACACGTATATACATATGTATATATGCGGCTTTCAGCTCTTACGTCGTTATCTATATGTAATATCGATTGAGTGGAATCAAGGAATGTTGAAGATAAGATCGTCGCAGCGAAGTCAAGTGAGACGAACGTAATTAATTGACATGCGCGAGTTGAGTTTTCTGGATATCTGGGGAATCTCTCGTACAAGATATCGCGTAGATAAATTTTCGTTTACCCAATTCGATCTCGAATGTTTTTCATGTGATGAAACTAAATTTAAGATAAAAATGTGAAAATGGTAATTAAGAAATTGTTCGATAATGGTGATATTATAAGTTAGTAATAGAATAATACAATTATATATATTAGTTGATAATTTTCTTTGTTGTCATCGAATTACAGATTTTAATAGTTATGAAAAACTTTGTAGAATTACATTTCCAATTATTTGGCATTATTTTGATCGCAGATATTTTGATCATTAGAGAATTTGAGATGACGCTCTGGCAATGAGAGTATCGCGTTTACTATCGATTACTTCCAATTACAATTAATTAGGAAGTAATACTTCACTATTGTACATACAATTGAACGAAGTTTGTGGAAACTGCAATTTTCTCCCTTATTCTCGCTTACGTTTTCGCCGTAAACGCGAGGGTCGCCTCGTTTTATGTCGCGTTAGAAAAATTAATATCCACGTGGGGGCTGCAGAAACAGTCTGCTATTTACGTCTTTTTAGCGTCTGCCGACGAGAGAGAGAGACGTTGAAGAATTTCTCGCTCGCCTGTAAAAATTGCTCCGAAAGAGTTCGTTTAACGATCGGGAACGATCCTAAGAATTAATCGCGAGGGAGATGCATCCCTTCTCGTTCTTGATCTTCTATCGCGCTGATAACACGCTCTTTCGTCTTCCCTGTCTCCGAGTTCACGAGTATCGATCGGTCGCGTGGCATTCAACGCGGAATCGCGGTAGGAATTTCAGCGAAAGAGAGAGAGAGCGCGGATGCGAACGACAGACGACTGACGACCCGCACTTTATTAGAGACACTATCAGTCTCTCCGACAGTCGCGATGAAGGATCTGGAGTTGAAGGAGGTTAATATCGTTAATGATCGAAATATTTAGCGTTATAACGCTCGATCGATGTTTTAAATCCATGTGGGAATCGACCAGCGGCTCGTATTTTATTTGTAATTTTTTTACTGAGACTGATGACGCTTGAACTATGCGAAGTGTGCATGGCGACCTTTTTTTTCTGTCTCCCCTTTATCTCGTACTATACATCGGCATACTATATACCGGCACTTTCCGTGTAGGACGGAATGTATCGAATTATCGATTGTATCCGCGATTATAGAGGAGTCGGACGCATCCCTAATAACGTCGCAGTTTAAATTCTCGAAGGGGAAAAATATACGAGAAACGGCATGAAATACATAAAAAAAAGCACGTTCCTGAAATCGCGTCGCATTCCTGGCGAATCTCAATTCTTGACATTGCTCATCCCGAGAATTATTCGCGTCTATATATCCTCGCGTTTAATATAATAATTTCAGAGGGATGAGAATAATGTCACCCCCGGGTTCTTGAAGAAATGGAGAAATGGGAAATTCGAAGTAGAGATTTTTTCTCTCTTCTCACTCTCTCTTTTCGTTCGTGCTAATTATGGACGTTTTTAAGTATAGATGTGCATCTCTCGTATGTTTAATATATAAAATCAATTCTTTTAGCTCATGTATCTTTGAAGTCTTCTCTGAATCAACAGTTCCACGAATCAACTTTTTTTTGAGATATATTTATTTGTTCTGACACAGCAGTTAAATTTACTTTTTATCAATTTACTTTTCAATAGAGAGATGAGTAATTAAACGTGATATTTTCCTTGACATATTCATATATGGATATTTTTCAATTTTATTAGACTCGCTCATTAGACACACATGGAATCTCGCTGTATTTGTAATAAACGTCACAATATTGAAAATATTACAATTATTATTTTTGCATGAGTTGCTAATATAATGATGAGAATCGTAAAAGTAATTGAAATCGAACAAAATCTTTAATACAGCAGTCGTGGGCCGGAGATATACATATATTCGCGGAACATTTGATTAAAACTAAACGATATTAAACTGTACAGCAATTTTTATCCACGTGTATCTCTTAACGAAGTATTCGATTCTTTCATTATCCTTTGAATAATCAAAGGTATATTATAAATAGAATCGAGTTGCATCCCACGATATATATTTACGGAACGTATTTTTATTTCTTATAAACAAACGAGAGGATCTGCAGGTTTTCTATCAAGGTTCTCTTCGCTTAGCTCGATTTTATCATTTTCCCAGTTAATTTTATCGTCCGAAATTTTCGCGCCAGGGTCAAAACAAGACTCAAATCTATCTCCTCTCGCGTAAACATGCAAATATTCCACCGCTGGTGCGGATTTACTTCATTTTCTGGGAGGTATCCTTTCCGTGGACAGAACTTTTATGACAACGAGCGGTGGAGAGAATCCGAGCGAACGAGCATCCGCTCGTTTACGAGCGGCTTAACAGGAAATCTCACGGAAATCCCGCGGCGGAGACGCATGCGGTTGATGCGTAATGTACCTACGACGAGACCTATAAACGCACTTGGTCGTTTATCACGGATTTGGCTGTCTCGCACTGTTTACGGGGAAACTTTGGTCCTCCCGGCGAAAATCCAATGCACACCCTCTCATATTTGTGGGAAACACGAGATAATGCTGTAATTATATTAGATTAATTTGTATTTTATTTTATTATATTATTATATAATAAAATATTATTGTATGAAATTTTATCTTCACAATTAATTTCGCTCGCCAAATTATGTATTTTTGTATTCTATAACACTTGAAAAGGACCCACAATGTGGGTCGAAACTTGGTGTGTACCTTTTTTCAATAAATGAATAGCCAGTTTTGGTCGAATTAAATTGCATCTTATTATTTGTTAACATTTTATTTTATATAATATAATATTATATATTTCATAATATTATATTATAAAATATAATATAATGATATTTTATTTATTATATTATATAATAATTTTATTATATATTATATTTGATTAACTGAATTTGGCTATCTCGCACTGTTAACAAGGAAACTTTAGTCCTCTCGGCGAAAATCCAATGCACACCCTCTCATATTTGTGGGAAACACGAGATAATGCTGTAATTATATTAGATTAATTTGTATTTTATTTTATTACATTATTATATAATAAAATATTATTGTATGATATTTTATCTTCACAATTAATTTCGCTCGCCAAATTATGTATTTTTGTATTCTAGCACTTGAAAAAGACCCACAATGTGGGTCGAAACGTGGTGTGTACTTATTTTCAATAAATGAATAGCCAGTTTTTGGTCGAATTAAATTGCATCTTATTATTTGTTAACATTATATTTTATATAATATAATATTATATATTTCATAATATTATATTATAAAATATAATATAATGATATTTTATTTATTATATTATATAACAATTTTATTATATATTATATTTGATTAACTAAATTTGGCTATCTCGCACTGTTTACAAGGAAACTTTAGTCCTCCCGGCGAAATCTAATACACACCCACTTATATTCGTGGAAAACACGAGATAATGCCGTAATTATATTATATTAATTTATATTTTACTTTATTATATTATATATAATATAAATATTCAAATATTATAATATATAATATATATAATAGTTTTATTATATATTATTTTATATTATAGTACATTATAGGGAGGCGATTTTTCTTAGGAAAGTGTTGTAAACGAACGGAAATGAAGAAAGTGAGTTTTCCCTTGAGATGAGACTCTGGAAAAGCGCACAGGGATGTAATCTAATGAGAAAGTAATCTACCACTCGTTTAAAGAAGAGATTTAAAGTATGCCTGTCTGCTTATGTACTCGCGATAGAGGATCTTGTAATAATTATTTCTCAACATTTTCCCATACTCTTCAGAAGAGCGAGAGCTCTTCGTTCGATGCATTCTTCTTAAGATGGAATATCCACGCGTTGAAATTAAGATTCTGTTTTTTAGAACAAGTTTCTTATAGTAAGAAATTGTATAGGTGTATTTAAATAAGTGCGAACAATTTTAGGAGATCATTTTTTGTTGAAAATTTAGGGGACTTTCTTATCTCTTCTCTAAAAATTAAGTTTTCATTTTTTTTTCAAATTTCAGATAAATTAAACATGAAACTCGATGGGATATTTTTCACTAATAGAAAGAATATTTATTTATATTAAAAAAATACAAACTTAATTTTTATATAAGAGATTTCCCTTAATTTTCAACGAAGAATCGTCTAAAATTTTCGCACTTATTTAGCTACACCCTGTACATAATTATATATATAAAAAAATTATATCCCCATTTAATATACAATTGTGCGAAATGAGAATCAAATCGACGCGAGTGCAGAATGAGCGGATATAAGCGCGCGCACCGGAAATGCATAACTCCAGAGGGATTGAAGAAGTTAAATGACCAGGGCTCTCTTTGTTGCTCCCTTTTATTTCCATCAAATCCATCGTTGCAATTGGGGGATGCGTGCGTCGTCGTTTCACGCACTCGCGAAAGGCGTCGCGACGCTTCAAGGGAGAGTAAAAAAAGGGGGAGAGAAAAGGAGAGTGAGAGGGGATCTCTCGAGAGGGCACACACGCACAGGCGCCGACGCACACACGTATAAAGGCCGGCGTCGCGACGCTCTCGCCGTCATTCCCACGCGCAGACACCCAAGTCGCGGTACCCGGCATCCTCGGACGTCATCGTCGTCGTCATCGGTGACTCACGGAGGTGGCACGTACCCTATATTATCAGGATTCCGTGAGGAACAAACGGGAGAATCGCTCGTGCGAACGGGAGCTTCATCCCCCGAGAAACGCGACAGCAAGTTCTCTTCTTTGCGTCTTCTTTCACTGGGGCTCCGAGAAGATAAATATATCCTCGTACCTCGACTACGATCTGCAGGACCCGCGAAATCGCGCTGACAGTTTTGTCACAGCAACAGGTGAGTTTATCTCGAGATTTGCATCTTCTTTGTGTATAGTTTCGTTTCCTCTTAAACGTGCCCTTTTTTTTCTTTTCTCTCCCTTAATTGAAAGATGTAATTGTGTGCTTTGTCGTATAATTTTTTTCATGCGAAGTTTAAATTCTTTTTGCAATTTGTAACTTGACATTACAAAGTGATCGATCTTGAATTTTATTTGTCGGATGTCCGCGTCTTCCGCTCTCTCACTCGATGATTGCAATTAAATTAAAAATGAGAAAACTTGTTTCTAGCAAGTAATGCGTTACAAATTCAATCGAGTGTTTATATTGATGGGATGAACGCAAAGGGAGTTGATTAAGTGCGATAAAATTATCACTAAGATATATATATATATATATATGTATATATATATATACAATATATCATATTTTATAACAAGAAAAGTTTTACTTTTATGACAGCCGATTGAAACAATAATGAATGTATTTTATTAATATGTGCTTCAATTTTCTTCTTTTTTCTCTTTTTTGTATTTTCTTTATTTTTAATCGTCTCTCGTGTGACATACAAAAGATTGTCATTTTGTGGTTGGTTATGGCTTTTTAATCCTTTACAAGCCGATTATATTTTTAAATCAATTTAAAACTTTTTAGATAGTTTAGAATTTTTTGTAAGTATCAAACTTTTATACGAGAATAAATATTATTTAGATTAAAAATATTATATTTGCGCAATAAAAAAGATTTATTTGATAACAAAAAATACTTTTGCTGCAATTATATTTATTTTAATTAATATTGTAAAATTATTAATCTTTTTAATTTATAATAATCATTGTATAACTTGTACAAACATTAAATATTCTTTAATCTTTATGAGAAAAAAAAAGAGAAAGAAAAGAGAGATACAGAGAACGAAAAGATAACAATTTTTGCTCTTTTGACTTATTACTTACAAGTGCTTCTGTAAAGATAGTAGCAACAGGTGAGTGAGTTTTAAGAACAAAGTGGTTTTCAAAGTTTTACATCTTCACTTTGCTTCAATTATTTTACTTTAATTACGTTCATCTTTTACATCAAGTGTGAAATAATCCTGAATGTTTTTTTAATTCTCTTTTTATTTAATTTCTTATAGAACAAATGTAATAAATTAAATAATCCGAGTATTTTTGGAGCTTTTTATATTAATTAAATTTAATTAAATTTATTTTAAAAAATTATAGAAAATATAAAAAAGTGTGAAAAGTATATGTAAATATAAAATATATGTAAATGTAAAATATGTATACATTTTTTAAGAACTAACTTTCTAATTTAGAAATAATTGTTCCTAAATATAAGTAAAATAAAGAAGAAATGAAACATTTAAAAACTAGCAGCAAATTTCTCGAGCAAAATTGATACGCTGTTATGTTTATATATAGTATGCATTCTATTTTTTATACAAATCCGGTTTTTAAAATATGCTTTCTCTCAATTTATTATTTCCAGGAAATATTGTGTACAATTGATATACTTGGAAAAATAATATTCGACTCATTATTGTATTGCATACATGCTAAATGATAAGTTTAAAATATAATGCAAAACAGAATTAATTTAAACAAAAGCTATTGTTGAAATTTAATTTAGACTTTATTATTTTCTTTTTAATTTGCAAAACTCATTAAGTTTATAGAGGTTACATTTTTTTAAACCAATTCTATATAAATTTTATTAAATTACAAATTTACACGAGCAATTGCGTAGGTGAGTTATTGTGGGCAGTGTAAAGGATAATATTTAAAAAAGTAAATGCATAAAAAAGAAAATGTTTTTTAAATCCATATTTATATAATCTTCGTCTTTTTTTAAATGTTTTATATGTGTCTTTGACAAAAATGTTATATAGTTTTGCAGAAAGCCTTTTATTACATTCCCTTAAATATTACGAGTACGTAGAGAGAGTTTTATGCTTAATAATACAAAGAGAAAAAAATATAAAACGTTATATAAAATCGCAATAATATTTCTCGATGCGCGAAATGATGAAATTCAATCTTATAGTCAGTTTTCAAAATTCATTTTCTCATAGGATTGAAATTGTATAATAATTCTACACACAGCACGTACGTAAACCATATAAAATTTTATTACTGCTCTTGATTAGCGAAAGCCAATGCCATTTGCTATTAATTTCGACCGCTTTCACGAGATTAACTGACCTTTTTGATTCCGATAAAGCTGCTACATTATTTCTGTCCTTAGAATTCGATTTGTGTTTTAAAGACGATGAAAATTCCTTTTCACGCCACGTGCGGCATTTCAATGCGTGTGTCTCAGCTGCAAAGACAAACTCCTTGATTTGATGACATCTGAGCTGATGTCGGAAGCTTACGTCGTAGAATTAAAAATTAAGTTATGTCGCTGTTGCCATTAGCGAGACATGAATGATCGTATTTCTGGAAAAAAAAAAAAATTCAGCGAAACAACATGCGTGCCTGTCACACGACGACGTCTCGAGGACACTTAAGAGATGAAAAAAGTGAAACTTTTGTGATTATATTATCGAATATTAAATTTGGAGTCAATTCGCATAAAAAAATAATATAGAGAGATACTTTATAAAATTGAAACGTATTTTGAAATGAAGAATTTGCGTGTTAAAGAGTTCTTTCTTTTAAGACGTGACATTATTGATTTTTCCATTTCTTCCATTCTTTTATACAATGATATAGATTATTTAAAACAGTGACTGAATTGATGCTTATTACTTGATTAAAATTTTATATTGTTCTCTCTTACATATGTCGCTGCGTGAGGAAAACATAATGAAACAGTAATTCAATAGCGGTGAACCAATGAGACCTCGTAAGTTCTCATTATGTAGATAATTGTTGTTGCGACGAGTACATTAATCCTTAATAAGATTCTACAGACACGAGTTTGTCTACAAAGTAGACACGGCTTTATGAATAGCAAAGTATTTTTTTATCGCATTAAAACAATGAATTTTAAAATGAGAAAGTGAATAAAACACACACACACAAGACAAAGTGCAATTATGGCCTTTAGACGATGTGTGGCAAATGAGATCCTAATCGTGACATGCAAATTATAATTTCAGAAAAGAGGGAGAAAGGCGGAATCTTTTTTCGCAGCAGGGATAAGAATGAGGATTAGTTATGAAATTGATCTCGTGGAAAAGTAGCTGTAGACGAAGGCAATAATCTCGGTGGGTGCGTTTAATGTTTGATGCGGAGAAAAGAAGGAAGAACTGGAGCAAAAAGTAGGAAAGAGAGGAGAAACGCGTTATTGTCGGACTTGTTTGCCGTTCATAAGTCGCTACTTACCTCCGGTTGTTTCGCGTCGCTTATTAGCTCGCCTCCGGGCTGACGCATTTTATTTTGTACGGGCAAATCTGAAATCCCGCCAATCAGGTCGTCGCACGTAAGTTTTCTACACGATTGCTGCGACAAAGTGTATCTTTTCGCAAAATTGCGTGTCTGAAACATGACACTTCAAAAATACCCTGTCGGCGAAGGGGTGCGAAGTGAACTGTAAAATTGCGTTTGGAAAATAAAGGGAAAATTGGAAATTAAATTCTTCGATTTTGACTGACAGAGTCGTTCGAAGAAAAAATAATGTGAATATTTTAAAAATAATATAATTTGTAACAGGTCTTTAGAAAATTTAATCTACAAATAAAAAGGCAATAAGAGCTAATAGTTCTATACTAGAATTATATTTGTGTGAAGAGATTTATAACATAAATTATTAAATATTATACAGAAGTAAATTCGTACGTTTCGGTTGTCTTTTTCAATCTTCTTCAGCTCATCGATTAAAAATTAATCTTTTAATTCTGTATAATATTTAATAATTTATGTTATAAATCTCTTCACACAAATATAATTCTAGTATAGAACTATTAGCTCTTATTGCCTTTTTATTTGTAGATTTTAAAAATAATTTTCTTTGGTATTTTCTTTAAATTTTGTACATCGTGCTCTCGCAAAATTGAAAATTAGAAATTATTGTGCTGCATTCGCGGCTCTTCTGGGTATATTCTTGGAGACTTCTTCAGACTTTATTTGTCGCTCGTCGTACGCATGTGTTTTTTTGCGTGCAATATTGCTCGCAAGGCTTCTTTGTAGACAATAAAGTCGCAAAGACGTAGAAGGAAGGGTAGGAGGAGCCCTTAGGACAATCCGGGTTATATATAGAGAGTACAATATTCGCGCGAAAGAACAAAGCAACGCACGCTATCTCGGCTCGCACCTATTTTCCTTATCGCGAGATTTACCGCACGCTGCAAAGTTTTCTTCCGTGTGTTCTTCTCGCTCACGTGTGTGTCGCAGAAGCGGCGTTATTATCATTAATTTCATTTGCGCTGTCATTAGCGCGCCGCGTCTTTAATTATAGCCGCAACTCGTGAGTCTTTGACGGTTTCTCTCGATGGCGTTAAATGCTTCTCGTTGTTTGTCATACCGCATTGCACGTTTACTTTCGTGTTTCCTCTCGCGTCACGGAGCGTTAATTAGCGGGGAAAGGAGAGAGAACTCGCAAGCTTTTATCGGAACGAATAGTCACGTGTGTGTCCGATCGGATTTTCCCTCGACGCTTCCTTTCATCTAGATATTATTCGCAAAATTCACGCGAATTTATATCATATTGTTATTTAAGAGTAAATTGTATTGCTTTAGGAATAAATTAAAAATAATACAATAAATAATGAAACTTTTCTCTCTCTCTCTCTCTATATATATATATATATATATATTTTATTATTATTCGATTAACGAGAAAAATCGTTGATTTTTCCATGTTTAAAAAAGGTTTAATTTATTGCCTCGCTCATATCCATATGTATAGCCGATATCATTGTCTGTCGGTGGTAGGTATTATAAAATTACCTTATTCCGCAAGTGGCAAATCGCATCGCATCGACCTAGGTAGAACCGTCGGCGATCAAGCGATCGGAATAATCAGCGGTCGTGTCCCGCGAGACATCGGGCACACGTGTAATGCAAAACCGAT